TCCTTAATTTTATGTGCCATGTATTTTCTCAACGGCAATTAGCTGGAAACACTTAGGCTACAATGTGCAGTCTTCAGGATGATGGGTCTTCTAGAAAGAATTCTCCCAGCTAGACAGCAACAATTTTAATTAGTCTGTGGGCCCAACGTGGAACGTTTTCGCAACATTGGCAAATTAATCGAAATGCATTAAAACCAATTAAAAGGCGGCAAAGGCAACTAAAAATGTGCTGAAGAGAAGTCCCCAAGGCGCCTTGCAATCAAGAAGATGTGTACTCGTCTGGCTACCGTTAAAGTTGAAATCTTTTATTTTATTTTTTATTTTTATTCTCTTTTTTTTGTTTGTTGGTTTGTGTGCAGTGCTGCACGAGCTTGAGAATCGAGTGGTGGAGAGTTGGAGTCGTAGTCGCCAGAGAAACTCTCACACCATCGCCCCCACTTTACAAGAGATTACAGTGAAGCTTAAATAAGTTGTACAACAAGGGGGGTTGCCTTTCGATAGATTTATTCAATATTCTTTGGAAAATATATTAAAATTTTAAATTCCATTAATTTTTTGTTTACAAAAACATTTTTTTCTGCCTTTGGAAGCTCTTCTGTAGCTTTGTATTTTTTGTCGCTTTTTTGCATTATTCGCCCCGTCATCTTATCGTTGGGCATTGCAATCAGTCGTCGTCGCCCGCGCATTGCTCCACATTTCAATTTTTACTCGTAGCCCCCACCATGGTGGAGGGGAAAAAATAAACTAAAAAGAAAGGGGAGGGAGGGGGGTACCTAAAGAAAAAATGCTCCTGCCTTGGCTGCTGTTTTTCCGCTTTTACGTTTTCGCGGCGGTTCGTGTTGCCAGGCGGACTTTGAATGGTATTGGTTTTGTGGCCCTACGTGTCTCCAGCACTCGTACATACATGTATGTACTACATATGTATGTGCATATTTATATCAACTAACTCATCGTATGCACTCGCATCGTCTTTACAACTCAACAAACGAGCGAAAGAACCCGACCCCCAATGCGTTGCCCTTCCAAGCACCCCAGCACACAGCATCCAACAGCATCAGCAGCCTTTCATTCTTTCCCATTGCATTCTTACTTTTTTTTTTTGTAGTCCATAGTACAGCACAGTAACGAAAGCAGCCCCAACAACAACAAAAACTGCACAGCCCGGCGCATAAAAATAATTTACGCCATGCTAGAGCGAAAAGCTAAAAATGAGTAAAAGTTGCCGCAGAAATACACAGCCCGAATGGAGCATACAAGAGAGGGCATTTTAGTAGATACGATTGGTAGTTTAAGTTATAAGCTTAAACTACTATTCTTTGAGTGTTTTGAATAGTATGAGGACAACTATAAAATAGTGTTGCATACATTTCAGCGTCAACATAAATTATTGTAGTATCCTGTTGCAATACTTTCTAAAATGCACTACAAATTATTAAAGGCTTATTTTCTTGACCACCAGCATCAAGCACTGTTACACGCATCCATGTAATATCAACTACTGCAGCGTATTGCATTCATGCGTGCCCCTGTGTGGGTACGCAAGCTTAACTATGTGTAAGAGTATTTTGGTCCGTACGAGAGGAAAGAGAGAGAGACACGAAGGCACGGGTTGTTTGCATTCACTCTACGCAAATGAGCGCCGTTCTAGGATTCTCCTGAGGGAGCACAATGTGGGTGGTGGGTGGTCGAAAGGGGGCTGGGGATTGGAGCAGAGAGCTCCCTAGCCAGCCTCTCTTCCGCCAACTCACTCTCACTAGATTGTGCTGGATTATTTGCTGCCTGCTTGAATGGCTAGGAAAGCTAGCTTGTTGTTGGTTCTGGATGCTTTTTGGTGGCGATGTTTGGGGGGGGGGGCGGAGGAGGGCCGAAGAAGGACTGTTGACGAGTTGGCAACAGCATAAAATTCAACGTAAAAATAGAGAAAAAAAATGCAAAGAAAGGCACATAAAATCACAGCAAACAAATTCACTACGCTAACTGCACTGCACTCCTCCCACTCGGTCTCTCTCATTTCCTCGAGTGGGGTTACTGACATTACAGCAGCCAGGCAGAGCAGTACGTCGGCAGTGGGGCTGCTCTTAACTGTGTGCGTTCAGCTACCGTTGCTAGACGACAGTGCTGCCAACAAAATGTACAAAAATTATTAAAAACTTCTAATTGGAGTAATATGATAGATAATAATAAATGAAGAACTTTACTTATGAAGTAAAAAAGTATATTAAATTTATTGATCATAAGAAATTAAATAACTTTACCTATAAAGTAAAGTAGTATATTAAGTATATTAAAAATATTGATCATCACTGTTGACTAAAAAGAAAGAAATAAGACACTATAAGAGATTACTTTCTGCATTTCTGTCATCTCGCAGTGTGCACTTCTCTCTATAATTTTATTTTCTCCTTCCGAGTTCTACACTTTTCGTTTCGTTTCGATTTGGCGCCAAAACAAATGCACACTGTTGGTTGGGGTTCAAAGAACTCTTGTCTAATTACGATGCATTCGGTATATCCATAACAAATGCACTTTACTATCGCATTCAAGTATGTATGCACACCGACAGACAGACACGTAGAGAGACATAGAGGATTTTGCATTCAATTTAGCACGACTGCATTCGGATCGGAGGGGGCATTAGTGTGTGTTTGTGAGAATCATAAAACTGAATATGCCAATTAACAACAGCAGCCAACAATAACTAACTGCAAAAGCAACAACTACCAACAAATGATGCAATGAGAGCACAAGAAATTGACATGAATGCCAAATGCAGTTGCTGAACCACATCATAAAAAGCAACAATGGCACCAGGCACTGCGGATAGATATGATGGGCAGGGCCATATAAGGTCACTGTAGCTGTAAACTATAAACCCCAAAATTGGTACAACATTTTTGGCAACTGTGTGCTAACCCGATAATTGTAATGTTTTTTTCAAAAAAAATATAACAGAAGCCCTATTTTTATTACTCATACGTAGTGGTGTACTCATCTGTCCAATTTTTCTGGCTTATGGCAGATGGATTCTTAGCCAAGTTAAGCTGCGACTGCTGGCTAAGGTTGCATTTACTTAGGCATTCATCGGTAGCAGCAGCATCATCTCTACCCCCTCCGCCCGCCCCTTTAATGTCGTTTTCTGTGAGTCAACAAACATTGACACACACACACACTCCACACACACGCCTTCTTGTGCTGCAACGCATGAACAAATATAGAAGATATGCAGTTATTTGCATAAAAGCTTTATAAATATGTGCATAAGCTTGCCACTGTGTGTGGGTGGGGTGTGTTACGTGCGGTGCGTGTGTAAGCGTGAGGTGTAAAGGTGTATGGACCAAGCAAGGGAGCATGTCGCTCCAACTAATCGCAGAACGCAGCTTACGTCGATCCCATAATTCTGCTTTCTCATCCTGCCTGCCACTCGTCTTAGGATTCAGATTACTCACATTTTTACAGAGCTCCTTGTTGGACTTTATTTCTGATGATTCCACTGAGCAAAATAAAAGCTTTTTTGTGGAATTTAATTATTTTTAATATTTATACACATTATTATAGGGTCTTTTCTTTTAAAATTCCATTCTTTTATTTATTTATTTATTTTAAATATTTCCTTCAGTGTACTGTTGGCATTTTCCACGCTCTACCTAACAACTGTACCAGACACGGTGTCTGCCACCTTTTAGCGTCTCCTTGCCACTGCAACGCCGCCTCTGCGGACTTTTCCTAACAATTGCAAGGCGCTTGTGGCAGCCTAGCAACCAACCAACCCAGGCCCCCAAATGCCAAGCCCTGGCCTGCCCACAGTAATGAAGAGCAGAGTTGTGAAAAAAAAAATCGTAAAAAGGGAGGAAAAATATAGCAATCATTGCACTTGTCCCGCGCAGCAGCAGCAGCTGCAACAACAACAATATGGCCAAGGCTATGCATTTTTTTTTTCTCTTGCTTCAATTTAGCTTCGTTTTAACTGTATATTTCTGCATGTATTGGTACATGTGTGTGTGTGTGTATGGATTTGAGTGCTCGCCCACAATGGGCGTGGCAGTCATTTCCCGCAATTACGCCGACACACACAAGCCCTGGCAATGGGCATATGGAGTGCGATATATAGACGAGAGAGAGAAAGAGATGTAGTGGATGGATGACTGAACGGATGAAAGGTTAGTGGAGAATAGAGAACGGTACAGGGGGGTGGAGGGGGGGATGCAAAGCCAGGCAGGAGAAGGTTGGTCCTTCGTGATAAGCCGTAACTGCAACCCAAAAGCAGTGTGGATACACTGACTCACAGTTGGAGGAAGCACTGCCCAGAAGTATGCAGCATTTTTTGTTAAAGAAAGTGCTTGGCTTTCAGTAAAATATTAAACTCGTACTTTTGAGCAACTAAGGATGACTGCGAGAATGTTGACTAAATATTTTTGAAAATCTTCAAGCTTAGTCTTCTCAGAGTCGGATTCAGAGTCGGGATTTAAGCCATTTCTTTAATCTTTATTCTGACACTGTCTGTCTGGCTTTAGCATGAAATTCAAGTGTCATTTATATTTTATTTGACTCTTTTTTTAAGAGTTTTTTTATGCTATTCCCAGTGGCACCCACAGATCCTATGCACTGAGAGAAATCTATAGTGTAAAAATATTAAAAAAAAGCTTTAGGAATATTATATTTTATGGTTTTTTTTCTCTCTGCTTTGAAACGAAACAAAACCCAGTCGCCCCAGACCGCTGGTCGTCTGTGGAAATTAAAATGTTTCCGTTTTCGCATCTGGGCATTCACTCACACAGCCAGGAGGCAGGCAGCAGAGACCTATAGTTGAACGAGATTGAATTTTATTGCTTGTCGCCGGTCCAAAAGCAGGACCTCGGTGGCAGGATGGTTGGCAGGACGTTTCAGGGTTGTCAGGATGCGGATTACACTAATTATGAAATGACATCGCCATCGTAGTTGTGGATTTTAATGGTTTTCTGTTGTCAACTTAATTAACAAATTTCATTCTTTATCGTTTGCAGGAAGAAAGGATGCTGCTGATGTCACCGCCGTTGCAGTAGCAACACCAATCCAGACAGGAGACAGGCTCCAGGAGCCAGGAGCCAAACCAATCGCACCAAGTCTTACAGCCATACACATGTTGCTGCCACATAAGGAGCTGCTAGTACAATGCTCAGCGCTGCCAATGCAACTGCAACAGCAGCAGCAGCAGCCGCGATTGCTGCAGTCGCAGCCGAGACTTATGTCATAACAGCAACAAATAAACAGCAGCCACAACAACAACAACAACAACAGCAGCCACAAGTCTTTGTTGTTGCCCCAAACAAAATGGTGATACCAGCAACAGGAGCAACAATCGCCGGTATACCAACAGCAACAACAACAACAGGAGCCGCCGAACAGCAGCAACAACAGCCACAGCAACAGCAACATGTGCTTTTTCAGCCACACCTACAAACAACAACAACAACAACAGCGACAGCAGTAACCAGCACACCTCAGCAACAACAACCACCTCAGCCGCGGCAACATCCCAAGAAGCGAAAGTTTGATCCAGCAGAGCTGGACAAAACCGAACAGCAGCAGCAGCAGCAGCATCCCCATCACCAGCAACAGCAACAGCATCAGTTGAGTCTGCAGAAGCAGCAAAAACCCGCCGACACTAATGGCAATAGCAATAGCAGCAGCAGCGATGGGCTGACCAACGGCAATGTTGCTGCCGTGCAGCAACAGCAGCTGCATCGCATGATCGGTGCAGGCACCGGTATTAGCAACAGCAACAGCAGCAGCGATATCAGCAAGCAACAACAGCAACAACGCATTATCATTGCATCCCCACTGCAACATGGCAGCAGTGGCAGTACTTACAAGCAACATGTTGCAGTCAGCAGCAATAGCAACATTAATCATCAACAGCAGCAACGTACGCACACGCCCACCACGGCCATTCACTATCAACAGCAACACCAAACTCAGCAACAGCAACAACAACAACGTTTTAGCTTTAACTCCCACAATCAGCAACATCCGCAACAGGAACAACAACAACAGCAATCCTTGCTCGATCTCAGCGAGTGGAATAACACGCGTGTCCTGGCCAAAATTCACAATCACTATGCCTCCGGCATCATACGTCAAGTGCAGGAGGCCGCAGCTGATTCAATACTCGTGGAATTCGATTCCCCCGATTTGGGGTCACGCCTATATCCGGACGTGTTGCACCAGGGCTGTTACCATGTGATACTCGATGCCAGCCCGCCCATGGCGGATGTAAGTACCAGTTGAAGCTTGAACCAGTCAAGGTGCTAACATATCGTTTTTAATTAGATTACCCTGGATGCTCGAGTTTGTGTGCGGCAGCGGGTGGAGGGACGAGGTGCTGGATCCGGCAGTTTCGTTTACGTGGAGGGCATCATAACCGACATCAACCATGCCACGAAGCAATATAGCGTGCAATTGATGGGCGAGGAAATGGTAAGACTTGTTTTCAGTGTAGATTCTTGAGGAAGCTTAACCTTGTCTTTATCTTTAGAACACCACCAAGGTCGTTTGTCGCGCCGATCTTCGCCTGCTGCAGCCGCCCTGGTGGGATGAGCTTAACGAGCTTACACCCCCCAGTGGAGCCGCCACTCCAGCCTCCAACTACAAGCGCAAGGTTTCCGCTGGAGCTTCTGGCGAAGCAATGGGCATGCCAAGTGGCAATATAGTTTATCCCAAAACGGCCAGTGGAACACCCTTGACCTTTGTGGCCACGCGCTATGATGGCAAGCTCCCCACAGCCCCGGCCACGCCCACAAGCCAACAACAGCAGCAACAGCACCTCGTGAAACATGAAGAGTATTATCGGACGACGGCCACGTCGCCGTTCCAGACGCGACCGGCACACGCTGGCCATTCTCATGGAGCGGATCAGCAGTCGGCGCAGTCGCATCCCCAGCAGGCTAATGGCCTGCCGGACATCGTGATCTCCCCGGGCAGTAACGGGCAGCACCTAAAGATACAACACCAGCAGCAGCAGCAATCGTCGCGGGGCTACGATGACTATGACTCGGACGATGAGCTGAAGCGGGTCGGCATCGGTTACTCGCCGGCTGCCGGCGACCTGGACACGGAGAAGATGAGCGCCTGCAGCAAGCGGAGCAGCATGCAGAGTCGCGGCAGTACGTCCAGTCTACTCGACCAGAGGCTCACACCAAGATCTCATCCAGCAACCCCAAGGTTGGTTTCCATATCCTATTTTTCCATCAGTCCTATAATCCTATAACCTCCATTTCAGATCTCAGGCCACCACGCCGCACCGCTTCAAGAAGGGAGACATCGTGGAGTCGGAGTCCGGCGTAAGGAAGAAGTACAATGGGAAACAGTGGCGCCGCCTGTGCATGCTCTGCACCAAGGAATCTCAAAGGCGAGGCTACTGTTCGCGACATCTCAACCAGAAGGGCAACCAGAACGCCCTGCCCTCCTCCACCGGACCGGGTCGTCTGTTAAGGTTAGTCTTAAACTAAAACCCCTTTTAATTAATTACTAACTAATTATTTACCATGTTTAGTGACAGCCGATCGAGCAGCAAGACCCAAATCGACGAGGACACCTCTCGCGACTCGGAAACATCGCCCAACTACAGGGTCAAAGGTCGCTACGATCAAGAGGAGACCGATGCTGCCGTCATGCTGGGTAAGTCACCAAAAATACTCATTTCTATCCCATTCCCGATAGTCACACCTCTTGAGAAGCTGGACTCATAAAAGCCTCTAAATTTATTCATAGTTTTGGGTGCAATTCAGTTCAAGGCTGGCTTTTCCAGAGCCTCGATTCTTTGGTTCGTTCTGGCCTGTCCAGCGCCAGTTTAACCGTTAATCTATCTCTTGAAAGGCAGGTACATATATGGGTGTATGTATGGGTATACCTTTCGAGGCGCTTCTGAAAAATATTTCTTTGATTTTCGGTATGGTTTCAGATTCGGGGTGATGGAACTTCTAGAACACCCTACGCTCCCTATGCTCTTAAGCTATAAATGCTTCTCCATAAAAATATTCCTTAGGAATGCCGAAGAAATAAACTTCTTTCATTCAAGCCCGAACCGGATTTCTTTTTCACAAAAAGGGTTTGAAAAAAAAACGATAAAAACAGGCTACAAGGAAGGGAGTTCTTTGAATCTTGAATTTTATTAAAAACAATATATGTACATACATATATTAATAGGTTTTTAAAAAATAATTCTTTACATTTTAAAAAGTTTTATACAATTCAAATTTAAATATTTTTATTTTTAATATCTCCAACCTTCAAGTCATAGTAGGGTATCTCTACCAGTCGTTACAACTGAAACTTTCTTTGCCTCTTGTTTTCTGGTTCGATGCATTTCCAATTCACCATAAAATGCATACCATAAAGTTTTATTGTGGCAGCGCCGTCAGCATTCTCTCCCCCCTCCTCCTCCTTCTCCTGCTGGTCTATCTGTCCTGTGGCCCTTGTCCATTTTTCACACACCTCAACAAAGGTCGTTTGTCCGTCCGTCCCATCAGCCGCTTTTCATAAAAGGTGTTGCAGAGAGGTCGTGTCCGATTCCCGATTTCGAACCCAAAAACGAATCAAGGGTTCCATTGTCTGAGGAATCTTGGTTCTCCTCCCACCTTCCCTCTGCCCTATGTCCTATGGCCTCTGCCACTTGAGAGTGTGACCGCAGTGTGATTTACACGCCAGACGCAGCGACGTCGGCAGAGGCAGAGCGACAGAAGGAAAGGTAACAAGTGATGCTGAGGTGATGAGCTAGAAATTATTAAAATTCTCCCGTTCTTTTAGTAGCTTTGTTAGTCTAAATATTTAGGCCCTTTGGAAAAGCTTTTCTAGCTTTCTAGCCATAAAACCTCTATAGGGTCAGCACTGCTGCTCACGCATTCCTAAGCACCTGCAGAAGGTAGAAAGACGCAATGATCGCGCAGCAGCAGAGCCACTTGAGACGAAACAATGCGAGGGCAGCGCAGGCGGCAGCGGCGGCAGAAGCGCAACAGATTCTTTTCTTTTATTCCCTGCTCATTTCTTGTTATATGCCCTGCCTTTGATTCGTTTTTACCTAAACAAAAATGCACTTGAGAGCGGCGCACGCACACTCACACACATAAAGAGACACGGACAGACACCTTCTCACCTACATCACAGCAGGTAAACAAACATGGCGAGCGGGCCCATAAAGGGAGAGATTTCTGGGCGAGAGAGAGAGTGATCGCGCGAGAGAGAGTTGAAACTATGCTGCTGACGTCGCTGCCCTTGGCGCTGCTTTCGGTTGATGGCTGCCTCGATCTGCCGCATTTATGCTGAGAACCGAGAACTGTCGAGACCCAAAGAACCAAGAACCGAGCCAGAAGAAAAGCCAGAAAAAGCAAAGCCATGCGAATGCAGCGCACAAGGCGAACGTGACAACGAAGGCAGAAAAGTGCATTTAAACAAAAAAAAAACAACAACAACATACACACCCGCGGCGGTTGAAGAGCGAGATTTCCGTGGAAATGCTCAAGTGAACGTCATGAATGCGTTCCAGGACTTCGAGCTGGGGGCCAAACTATATCTACAGTGCTTATGTAATAATACCCCTCTACCGGGAGAGAGCTTTCCACGCAGGATTCTCTGCCCTTTCCTCAAAGAAAAGTAGAGTTAAAGTTTTGTTTTTGTTTGTCTTGTAATTCCAGTGTCGCTGAGCAGCTCCCGCTCCGCCACGCCATCGTACACATCTCCCGTGAACCACGCCGGAGCCTCTCCGTTGAATGCCATCGCCCACTCGCCGGTGAATGTTGCCACCAGTCACAGGCAGAACTTCTTCACTCCCATCGCCAATCAATCGCAGCAGCAGCAGCAACAGCAACAACATGTGCCACAACAGCAGCAGCCGCAGCAACAACAACAACAACCTGTGGCCATACCGCTGGATGCCAAGTGGAAGGCTACGCCCAGTCCAGTGCTCTACAATCCCAACAACAATAACAACAATGGCTGGGAGGCTAGCAGCAGCAGCAGCACCCAAATGGGAAGTAGTGCAGCATCCAATGCTGCTGCCCAGCAACCACTGCCGCCACAGACGACGCCCGTATCGTTGGTGATGCACGCCCCACCGCCGCACCACCAGATGCAGCAGCAACCCCAACAGCAGCAGCAGCACCATCTTCATCATCACCACCAGCCACCGCCGCCACCTGCCGCTCATCACAGCCAGTCGAGCCTGCCAGCCCCCTCGTCGGCTCCGCCATTAGGAAGCGGCGGGAACAGCGGCAACAACACCACCAGCGTGATTCGCATCTCCAGCAGCCAGCCGCCGCAGCATCCAGCATCCCATTCCCATGTGGTGGTGTCCAGCAGTCAGACGTTTCATCAGGTGATTGTCGATGGCAGCCAACTGGCAGTGCCGGCCATGCCGCCCGCCACGGTTTCATTTCATCAGCCCAACACGCCGACAACCACCTCAGTGGCTACCCTGGGCCAGGAGAAGGTGATGCCAAAAAACGGTGAGTTTGGGTGGCAGTTGGACTTCAAAGTGGGCTTTAATTATGAATATTATTCATTATGATATTCCTCTTTAAAGAATTCCAAAAAAAAAAAACCAATGTTAGTCATGAACTTGTAAAGATTGGAATACTTAAAAGTTAGTCACAGCTTTTTAGAATTCTTTGGGGGTTAGTCGCTTTGGTTTCTTTTTAAAAAACTAGGCTTCCAGATAGGCTTATGTTTAGTTTTCTTATCGTTTCTGAACATTCATTCAAAAGCCCAATCTCTTCCTCCGCTTTAGGATACAATGCGCCAACCAGCCATGCCTGGTATAAGCTGCTCCCCCAGATGCCACCCATAACAAAGGTGCCACCAATCGCATCGGCTATACCAACCTCAACCACGGCTGGTAGCTACAATGTGGTGATGTTGCAACAGCAGCAGCAGCAGGAGCAACAGCAACAGCAGTCGCCGCCACAGATGCCGCTCAACCACAACAACAACCATCTGATTGTGCCCGGTCCACTCAGTTCACCCAACAAGCCGCTCAACTGCTCCATGAACGATGCAAAGGCAGCAGCTGCAGCCGCCGCAGCAGCAGCAGTGGTGGCCAACCAGCAGCAGCAGCAGCACCAGGAGGAGCCGGATGACCAGCTAGATGACGATGTGTTTGAGACCACGGCCGCCGGAAACAGTAGTACCAAGAAGCAGACGGCGGCAATGCGACTGCCGACATACAACAGCAATATCCGGAAGATCGAGGAGTGCCACGATGCGAGTGACGGAGCAGCTGGGGCACCAGTAACCTCGGCAGCCAAAAGGCGGAGTCAATCGCTGAGTGCCTTGCAACAGCAGCAGCAACAGGCTGCCGGTTCTGCCGGAGCAGCAGGTGCAGCAGCAGCGGCAGCCGCAGGACAGCCGGCGAACAAGAAGATCCGACGGCCCATGAACGCCTTTATGATCTTTTCGAAGAAGCATCGCAAGATGGTCCACAAGAAGCATCCGAACCAGGACAACCGCACGGTTAGCAAGATCCTGGGGGAGTGGTGGTACGCTTTGAAGCCTGAGCAGAAGGCCCAGTACCACGAGCTGGCCAGCTCGGTGAAGGATGCCCACTTCAAGCTGCACCCGGAGTGGAAGTGGTGTTCAAAGGATCGCAGGAAGTCCTCAACCTCTACGGCTGCGGCCGGTGGCAAGGGACAGGGAGCCGCGGGAGCAGGTGACGCCAAGCAGCGCCTCGTTTCGGTCGATGGCTCCGACTCCCTGGAACAGGACATGTGCCCGTCGACGCCGGGAGGCAGTGGAAGTGGTGGCGTTGCAACCGAAATGCAGGGCGACATCATACCGTTGACCATTGACAACTACAACAGCGCCTGCGATGAGGCGCCCACCACGATCTCGATGAAGGGCAACGGAAACGAGAAGCTGCTTAAGAACGAAATGCCCTCGGATGAGGACGAGCAGATGCTGGTTGTGGAGGACGAGCGCCCCCAGGCACAGACGCAGCAGGCCAGGAAACTGGATCTGCACTGCCGCGAGCGGGTGAACGACTCGGACATGGACGATGCCCCCTTTGATTATCGCAAACAGCAGCCCGACACGGATCAGGTTAGTTTCTGCTTTCCGACAAGGAATTATGATTTGACCAACAAGTTCATTGACTTCCAGCGCCAGCCGGAGGAGCACAGCACGTCCGGTGCCAATGGCCAGGCCATGGGTGCACCACTGACCGGCGGAAGCGAGCGGGAGATCACCCTCAAACCGAAGGCCATCAAGGCCCACTCGGTGCTGGAGAACACCATGCTGTCGTATCCCTCGATGTCCATCTACAAGAAGTACACTAGTCCCAAGAATCCAATCGGTGTAACACCATTCCAACCAACAGGCGAGCACACCCCGCTATACTCTGGCTAGGCACCCGAATACTAACCAAAGATTGGCTTCCTTTGTTCCTCTACAGGCGGCGCCTTCAAGTCGATGCCCATTAGCCCCAAGGGCGGCAGTGGCAAGCCGGAGGACTCGGCCGGTCTGCAGGCACATATCAAGCAGGAGGACATTAAGCAGGAGCCACCGTCGCCCTACAAGCTGAACGGTGGCTCGGTGTCCGCTGGGCCAGGAGGTGGGGTTGGCGCCCAGCCACCGGGTGGCAGCAGCGTGGGTGCCATCTTCAATTTCAATGTGCCATCGGCGACGGCGTTGAGCCAGAAGCAGTTCCACTATCCAATGCATCATCCCCACCCGAGTCCGACCGATCTAAGAGGTGACTACAAGTCCTTACAATTCAAATATTTAAAATTATACTTTATTTTTGCTATTAAGTTCTTAATATTGTTTAGTTTTTTTTTTTAAAGTTCTAATTGGCATTATTTCTACTATGATTTGGTTGGTTTATCTCCATATGATTTGGTTTGTGATTTGAGTTAATGATTCTCCTGAGTTGGCCACCAAAATTGAAACATTATCATCATTTGCATTGATCAGCTGCCCCTCTCCACCTTCACCAGTGGCTTCTGCATAACCACAACCATGTTTCTCTCTATTTCTTTCAAACTTTCTCTCACACACCTAACACACTCCCTACCGCCATTGATCTTCCTTTAAATGCGCCGTCATTCCATTCCATTCGTCCATTAACACCAAGACCAAGACACCACTAAAGGGACCAAGTCGGGCGAGGAGGAGGAGGAGGAGAATAGTCCTCCTCTTGTAGAAAGAGAGGAGAATGATCATTTGGAGGATGACGAGGAGCAGGAGGAGGAGGAGGATGACGATGATGATGATGATGATGATGAGGACGATGAACAGTTCATGCAGGAGCTGGCCAGTGTGAATGCCAGTGCTGGATTCGATGATATGGCTCAGTATGCCATGCCAAAGGCCATACCGATAGTAACACCTAATCCCACCCCACCGCCAGTGACCACAGCCACTATTGTGGCGCCCATCAAGAGGAAACAATTCACCATAGTTCGGTCCCTGACGCCGCTGCAGCCTTCCCACTCGCCCCACCACCAGCTGAAGCATCTCCACCAGCGTCGGGGCGAGACACCGCCGACGGTCATCACCCGCGTGCCCACGCCCACCATCAATCACTTCACCATCATACGAACGCAACCGCATCCAACAGCATCCACACCACACACCCATCCACACAACACTCCGCCGCCATTGTTTTTCAAACAGAAGGTTCAGAGCTCACCAGTGATAGCCACCGTTCACCCGGCCCCATCATCAGTCCCAGTCACAGTCTCATCCAGTCATCCAGCCACTAACGAAGCCCCTAATAAAATTTCCAATTTTCCCACACAACAACAAAAACAAAAACAACAACCTCAACCAACAACAATAACATGCAATACGAACAACAATGCCACGCCCATTATACGAAAACTGCTTACCCTGAAAGAAGGAGGCGGCGGAGGTAAAGTAAACAAAGGAACAGGACGAGCTGCAATCCTGTATGATGCTTTGGTCCTGGACACACTCCACGGCCAGGACGAAGAGGCCGAGGATGATGAGGAAGACGGAGAGGAAGGTCAGGAGCGCCTGCCTTCAAAGAAGGAGCAGCAAGTGGCCAGTGGCCAGCCGGCAACAATGCTGCTCATCACCGATGTGAATTCGTACAACCAGCAGCATGCGGCCACTCCCGTGTCGGGAGCTGCCACCCTACGGCCCGTGTCCTTCATCAGCATCAATGCTTGCAACAAGATCACTCTACCGACCAACGCCCGCATCCTGACAGCGGCCACCTCTGCGGCAGGATCGGTGGCTACCTCTCAAGGCGGTGGCGCCACTCTCACGGTTCTAACTAAGGCGTCGGCCACCAATCATAGTAGTACTAATGCCAACGAACTAACCATAACAGCAGCTGCCACCCCGGTGGTAGCGTCCATCGCCTCCTCCAGTCACTCTGGAGTAACTAGCAGTGGCAGTGACGCCACCATTGTTATGATCAACTCCAGCACAACACCCTGCTCATCCACCAATTCCAATTCTTGTTCCACAGCTGCCCATCAGGCGTGTGTTCCCTCGTCGCCGGCGGCCATGGGATTGGGCCATCCGGCTAGCATCGCTACGCCACCGGCCTCGGCACCCGCTCAGATAATGGGAGGCGGTCCAACGCCCGGCCAGAAGATGTTCTTTGCCATGGGCAATCCAGTAAGTTAAGAAACTTGGACATAGACTTCCATGACTAACCCTTCCATCAGTTACAGTACCAGTTGCTACAGCGTTCCCATCAACCGGGCACCCCGAGCCTCGAACAACTGCAGCTGGACGCCTTTGCACCCGGCAACTACATTTTCAAGAACCACAATGGATTGACCCTGCCACCGCCGGTCAGTGCTCAGCCCACCATGCTGTTGCAGGGATATGCGCCCAGCCATAGTGCCGAACCACCGGCCAGTTCGCCATCGTACAAGTCCATGCCTTCCACACCGAAATCGGCCACATACCTCATGAGTGCGCCACCGGAACGGGGCATGGAGGGTGGCCTGGGTGGAGGTGCGGCGGCAGCGTCAGCCAGTGGTGGCGATGAGAGTGACATGGATGCGGATGGCCAGCAGTTTATACTGGCTCCTACACCGGCTCAGTTGGGACGAGCTCCGCTTCAGCGGCGCAAGAATCTATGTAAGTGAAAGGGTCTTTGGTGTGGAGAAATATTACTTATTCTTCTTTAATCCTTTCAGCGCAAAGCAAGTCGGAGAACAATGTATCATTTTCGGGCAATCTGGGAGCCAGCAATGGACAGCACATCGGCCGTAAGATGCACTCGCCCACGGTGATGGAGACCTCGTCACCCATTATCGGGCATGTGAACAACAGCAGCCTGAGCTCAGCCCTGCCTACACCCACCTCCTCAACCACAACGCCCAACAGCGATGAGCAACTGCCTCTGACCCCGACGACCACCACCGTCAGCAACCAGCCGCCCAAGTCACCAATGAAGGGCACGCCAGGATCGACAGCTGCGGCCCTGAAGAAGAAGAACGATGAAATGAATAAGTAAGAGTTTAAGGAAGCTATCATCACCAGGAAATGACACTAAAATCCCATCCATTTGTAGTAGTGTTCTCAAGCAGGTGGACTTTGAGAAGAAGTACAAGGCTCTGCCGCAATTCCAGCCGGAGGACTGTCAGTCGCCCAGTGCCATAGCAGTGCCATCTTCGCCGCGAGTCTACGGCACCAATTACCGGAAAAAGAATACGGCACCGCCACCGGTGCAGAAGCTAAGTAAGTTACCAAACATCCATCTATTGTGGGTATTTACCAAACTCATTACCTTCCAGTGAGTGAGGACGATTCCATTGACGAACCAGCTTCAGCACCACCCACAACTACTCAGCGCTTCTTTGGCCCTGATTTCACCAAAGAGTTGAAGGGTAAGTATCACAAGAGCTTTGTCTTAGGATTGTGTTGATTGAAGGAATCCTTTCAGAATTAGAGAGTTCCGATCAGACGGGTCGCTCACCTCGGACCCCAAAGACACCATTGCAGAGCGCTCGCTCCGATGCCAGCGAAAAGGGACATCGTAAGGTGCTGGAAACTCGTCGCAATCTGGTCATGAAGCTGTTTGCTGAGTACGGAAACTTCCCATCTGCCCAGGCTACCATCGCCTTTCAGGTTAGTTTGTTTAACTAAAAGTATAATTATTTAATTATTAATCCTTTACTTACTTTACAGATCAGACACATTGATGTGTTTCCGCGCAAACAAGATTTGCAGTTAAAGATCCGCGAAGTTCGCCAGAAGCTACTTGGCCAGGCTTCCTGCACACCGCACTCGGCCGGTCCCAACACCCCGTCCGAATCCAACCCGTCTCTGACAAGTCTAAGTAGCGGAGGCCTAAGTGCGCAGGCAACCAATGCACCACCCACCGCAGCAGGTATATATCTGTAGAGATTTGGTTCCTTTGATAAAACAAAGTTCCTACAAAGATTGCTTAAAGTTAGTCCTACTTTTATTTGCTTTTTAATTTAGTTTCAATTTCTTAATGAAAACATTGTAAAGATGTTTTTCAATATTACTAAACCACAGGTGCCCACCAACAACACTCGGAGCACCAAAAGTCGCATGCTGCGGGAAAATAAGACGGATTGTGATGCCAAGTACAAGTAGAACGGGGAACGACTCGCAGGACAGGACAACAAGGACAAGGAACTCAATTGTTGGCTGCAAGTGACAAAATTTACTTATGGACAGTAAACGAATCGACAGCAACAGCAACAATTGGGATGAATTGCAGCAACGCACAGCTCACACTTAGCTAAAGATCATGCATGAGATGCATGTCAACTAGTTTTTATTATTAATTGCAACTTGTAACGCAAGAAAATAGAAAAGAAAAGATACAACATTTTATAATTTCAATAGGCATATACAATATATGTGAAAGCAAAGCAACTTGAAAGTAGATACGCGAAACTGATTACGAATGAATTTATTAAGCCGCTTAATAAATCAGGAGCAACCAACCACACATTTATATGAGAGGAAATTTTGAAGAAAAATTGAAACTTTTGAAGCACACATGAAGTACATGCATTAATGCATACATACATATTAATATACATTGTATAATCCCCGCGTAAACAACTAGGTTTTTATTTACAGGCTAAAATGCAACTAACAAGAAAAGGAAGAGCTAAGGATATAGAAGTTAAGCTTTAACTTAAATTGCACATTTTGAAGTGTATTAAGCACAAGCAAATGCAAAGAATTGTATAAAAAAAACAAAAAACACAACAAGAAACTTGAAATGAACTGTAGTTGTATTGTATATTTAGTCATACATTTTTTAAAGAGAACAAATCCCCCAAGAAACCACCACACTAACACCCACACCCCCACCCAACTCCACCCCACCCACTCGCACACATCTAAATGCTTTTAAACTGTTTGCCTTTGTTCTCCCAGATGATGAGAAGACAAGCCCCTTTTTAAATTGTATGTACATTTCTTTTAATTGGCTTTTTACACTGTTGTCTAATTGAATTATAATTTTATTTATATATTTTTAAAATTTTATTATATATTAGCCTGTTTTTAAATTGTACACACACACCGAAAAATAAACATCAAACGAGAAAATAATTTAATCAAAATTTATTACAGACAAGATTCGATTCGATTTAAGAGAGAGAATGAAAGAACTAACTGTCTTCCACTGTTGCTGCAATATATTATTTAATATATTTTATGATTCGGTTGAATTAAATTTAGTTATAAATTGAATTATTAAGAAATGATTTTATTATTTGACTGCAATTCGTTTGCTAAATTTGTACTTTGTGAATTGTTAACTATTAAATGTTGTCCCTAATTTGTGTCTTCTAAATTTAAGTTACTTTATTGCCTTTTTTCCCCCAAACATGCCAGTCACAGATCCTAAGGGGCAGCAAGTTAAAAAAATATTCATTCAAATTCAAAACTTTTAAAAGCAAAAAACAAAAATTAACAAAAAACCAATAGTAAACATTTTAAAACACGCAATAATTAACATATTTCAAAATAAATGGCGCCTCCATTTAGGTTTATGATTAGTGGATGGAAGGTTAAAAAAACAACTGATTTGTAAAATTAAAACTCACTCACATAGCTGTTTTAAATTCTTTAGTTTTGTGTTTAATTGTAACTTAATTATAGTTTTTTTTATGATGTTTAGTTCTTAATTACCTATTAGTTACTTGTATTAATTAGTGAACAAACGAAATTTTATATGATAAAAAGTAAAAGAGCGTAACTGTAGCGTGTTAATGTTAAAAATAAAACAAATAAAAACAAAAATAAAACAAAGTTTATAAGCAAATTACAAAAATTTTGTGAACTTCATTGTAGGCAAAAAATAAAGCACACTAAACTTTTCTTTATTTTTAAAAACCACCTCATCACCACCCCCCAGCAAAGTCCCAAATATTAGCAAGCAATCTGTGCCAATGTCGAAGCTTATCCAGTAATACTCAAATATTAAAAAAATTAATAAGCATAAAAAGATGTTTGTCAATTAGGTGAAGTACAGACAAAGCATAAAAACCAAAGCCTTTTTGACATGCACACAATGTTGGAGAATCTAAAACAGGTGCATCCAAAAAATAAACAATTTTGGCAACAATCCTTTCGGACTAAGAAAATTAAACACAGCAAACGGAAAATGAACAGGAATTACTATACAAACAACCTTTGGCAATTAAAAGAATGATAACAAAATGGGAAACAATCTCAGTCAGAAATCACACAACAAAAACGGCGTTTCGGATACAAAATTCTAAAATTCAGGTATTAAATAAAACAAAAAAAAACAAAAATACAGATAGAGTTGTATAATGTTAAAGACAATTTTTGAACAAATTAAAAATAAAAGATGAACTATTTAGCTATATATACAAGCGAGGCGAGAGGATGAACAACTTTGCAAGTACGTATAAATTTATAAGGTGCTTTTATAACAAAATATTTGGTAGAGAATCTAAAAAAATCAGCGAAAAGGCCTCCTCCTCCCACATTATAATATATATACATATACATCTATTTTTGTCGAAAGGCATTACTGTATTTTAAAATGCTTTTAAAATGAATAGGAGGAGATTTAGAAACGAAACCCCAAAATGGGTACAAAACTCTCGTAATTCAGTTGTGAGCGATTCGCACATTTTGACGATAAGGGAGCGTGTGTTTTTTATAGTTTTTAATCGAGGTGGGCATTTTATCGTAGCTGAGAGCCCCCTCAAAAATTAGAGCTAAAAATATATATATATATCTACATAAATCTGATTGGTGACATCTCTAGTGGCAATCGAGGTTACAAAATGTTGTTTGCGGTTTGTTTAGTTAATTGTTAAAAAGTTAAAAGGAAACCAAAAATAAATATTCTTAAGTCAATGATTAATTGCACAATTCTAAATATATAAAGCGACTCTTGAGTTTGTAGTGAAATTTCCCCAAACATATTATTTGCAATTAAATTGAAGGCTTTGTAAAATATTAACAAACAAGTTAACTAATAAGCCAGTTATTGTGAAACATATTTTGTAAGCCACAACAACACTTAAGACAAATTATGAATATTAAAATACAATATACAAATACAAAACCATATACAGGATAGTGTTAACAAAGATTATAGTAATTACTCATCTGAAGAAAGTGTCTGAGATAGGGGCTTTGTCTGAGAAAGGAAAGAATTTAATTTGATAATCCGTCGGAGGGAAAATGGCGGTCAGCCCTTGACAGCAACAATCGACACCCGTACACAAAACAAACACTTGGATAAAACCCATACATAAATATATGTATAAATAAATATATATATGATGATAAATTTATTGAATAAATGAAAAATATACATTCATAAAACTCAAAGTTGTGTTTGTTGGTCTTTTGGTATGGGAGTTCTTATGGTTTTGGAGTTCACCCAGATCACTCATACGCACTGTTGCCTGAGTACTAGGCTTAGATTTTGTTCTTTGCATCATTTTCAATCCTTTTGATATAAATTTCGATTTGAGTTAAAAACTACACATATTCAAAATTTAAAACAATAATACCAACTAGCCTGACTGTGATACTGAACTTTGGAATACGGGTCGTATGAGTAATTTTCTGGAAGCGCATGTATCTTAAGGGTGATTTGAGAAGATATAAAACCGTATTTTAAATTTTATAATAAGTATAATTTATTGAGATTAAATTAGCTATAGGACTAAAAAAAAAACAGTCTTTCTAAACAGAAACCTCTATAGGCAGTTCGTGGATAATACTTCTAGCCGAAGACAGAATACTAATATCTGCACAGTTCTTGAAAGTTTCCTGAGCTCCACAGCCCATAGCTCCCGTTCCATCCTCACACACACCCCAGTTGTTGCCAGCCGTATAGGTCCACCTCAGGACACAGTGGATGCAGTTCAGATTTGTGGGCAGCTGAACGGTTACCGGAATCTCTCCAGTTGTGGAGTTAATGTAGTACTTCAAGCTGTCATCGGTAAATTTCAAGGGATACTGACTGAAACATTCTTCCGATTCGCTGCCCTGTTCGTCTATATTGCAAAGATGGAAGCTGAAGTAGCCGAGATGGTTGGCAGTGATTTTTACATTAATTTCAGCCTCGGTGGTGCCAGTGAAAGTCTGTACGATCACTCCACTGCCATAAGTTCCACCCAACTCATTGGGACGTGGCTGTTCCAGACTCCAATCATCTCCGCACAGACCGCATTGCCCATCGTTTTCAGTTTGTTTCTGGAGATAAGCATATTATATAAATTATTATTGACCTATTCGTTATTTAAAGCTCAAGAGAACCTACCCAGAATCCGCCACAGTATAATCCACTATCGTCATAATTTTTGGGAGCTGAAGAATCGTAACGCCATCGTGAGGATCTGCCCACCGGACTCAACATCATGCCGTGAGCTTCCAATTCGCCCAATAGGCTAAATGTACTGATTGCTACTATCAGGATACTCTTGAAGACTTTCATTTTCTTTCTCTAACGATTTTACTTTGGCGAATCGTAACCTGCCCGAAGGCTTATATAGTATTCCCAAAAACTTATCAGTTGTCAGGCCATAATTGATTGTTTTTTGGGTTAAGATTTTTTGTACGAATAACCATGAATTCTATTATCGCATTTTAATCTCAATTCTTTTTTTATGGTTATTAGTAGTTGAAATTTTGGCGAATTGTTAGTATCTGCCCTGGGAAATAGCCAAAACACCTATGACACATATAAACAATACCCCAAGTATCGGTAATTATTGGAATCACTCCAATTTCATAGACTTGTTTATTGGACTATTAGCAATGTTTAACCCTCCAATGCCAGTTTGATAACAGTTCATTGCTTGGGAAATACTCAAAGTAAAAGCTAATAATGTTAGCCAAGGTTAAAAAATAACAATTGAAATATGCAAACAAAAACATGTTAAAAAAATCTTGTAACCAACCAACTCCTTTGCTATCCGGAAACAATAAAAAAAGTTTTAAATTGTTCAAGCATGGAACAAAGTTTTAATTAAACTGTAAAGATAGGTCGGATTATATGGCACAAAATAGAAAAGGTAGGAACTTCCAACTTGCTATCATCAAAAACACAAAAGAAGGGTATTTTCCGATAGTTCAGTTATATGGCAGCTATAGGACATACATATGGTAGTCGTCTATATAACCAATAATGATGACTATTTCTTCCCCAATTCTCATCCGATTCTCAAGCGGGATACCTTAAACGATTACTAGTTCGATTTTCCACCAATCTGCATCAAAATCCTGAGACGAAATATTTTTTAGATTTTTTGTCCATTTTTCATGATGGGATCCCTTGAAAATGGTGTTTTCCCCTATAGGGTCCACGTTGATGGCCATATCTCCCGCAATTCTCATCCGATTCTGAAGCGGGGTACCTTAAACGATTTCTGGATCGATTTCCCACTATTCTGCATCAAAATCCTGAGACGAAATATTTTTTAGATTTTTTGTCCATTTTTCATTATGGGATCCCTTGAAATTGGGGTTTTCCCCTATAGGGTCCACGTTGAAGGCCATATCTCCCGCAATTCTCATCCGATTCTCAAGCGGGATACCTTAAACGATTTCTGGATCGATTTCCCACTATTCTGCATCAAAATCCTGAGACGAAATATTTTTTAGATTTTTTGTCCATTTTTCATGATGGGATCCCTTGAAAATGGTGTTTTCCCCTATAGGGTCCACGTTGATGGCCATATCCCCCGCAATTCTCATCCGATTCTCAAGCGGGGTACCTTAAACGATTTCTGGATCGATTTTCTTCCATTCTGCATCAAAATCTTGAGACGAAATATTTTTTAGATTTTTTGTCCATTTTTCATGATGGGATCCCTTGAAAATGGTGTTTTCCCCTATAGGGTCCACGTTGATGGCCATAACTTCCGCAATTCTCATCCGATTCTCAAGCGGGGTACCTTAAACGATTTCTGGATCGATTTCCCACCATTCTGCATTAAAATCCTGAGACAAAATATTGAGATGACAATATGAGAGACAATCAGAGACAAATATGAGACAATCACTTGGCCGGGTTTCTGGAACAGCAGAGAGCTTTGCGAAGACTGAACCGTTCCAAAGACGACCCCGATAATAACCAAAACCTTCCCAAAATGCAGAAAGAATTCATTTACCGAGGTGGTAAGTATGGTTTGAGGCTTAAGTCGAAATTCTTTAATTTTAATGGAACATTTCGAATAGGACCTAACCATATAAGGACAACCGCATTACCGGAACATGCCCCAAAAAAGAGTCTCCATAGTGATGTCGAGTTCCTCAACGATTGGGAGATCCAGCAGATAACTTGCATGGCCGCAAAACAAGACAATTTAAAGAAAAAATGTGCAGAAATAGAAATAAAAAAAAAGTGCGCCAGTTTTAAAAAAAAGGGTAGAAAAGGAAAAAAAGGAGAAAAATTTGGAAAAAAAAGTAAAAAAGCTTTGAAAAAGAAATGTAAAAAAATGAAACTGAAAAATAGGTGCATAAAAATGTCTAAAAATAAGAAATGCAAAACGAGCGCCAAAAAAGGAGGAAAAACGTCTAAGGATGACGAACTGAAAGACCAATGCGAGGAAATGGCGGCCAGAAAAAAATGCAAAAAAACGTCCAAGAAGGAGAAAGCAGCAAAGCAGAAGAACAAGTGCAAGGAACTGGCCATGAAGGAGAGGTGCAAAAAGATGTCCAAGTGCCCAAAGAAAGGCAAAAGCAAGAAAATAAAAGGAAAAGCTGACAAGCTCAAGAAGAAATGCAAGGCCATGGAAACAAAAAAGAAGTGCAAAGAGTTGGCTAAAAAAAACAAAGCCAAAGAAATGGCTAAAAAGAACAAATGCAAAAAAGGCGACAACGAAGAAGACCAAAAAGCTAAGGAAGCTGAAGCAAAAGAGCGATGCAAGGAAATGGCAAACATGAAAAAATGCAAAAAAATGGCCAAAAAAACGAAAGCAGCAATGCAGAAGAAGAAATGCCAGGAATTGGCCATGAAGGAGAGGTGCAAAAAGCTGTCCAAGTGCCCAAGTAAAAGCAAGAAAGTCAAAGGCAAAGCTGACAAGCTGAAGAAGAAATGCAAGGCCATGGAACTTGAAAAGAAGTGCAAGAAACTCATCAAAAAGAAGAAAAACGGAAAGAAGTGCTAAGAGTTTTCCCAGCGGAAAAATCGCGATTTTTACTATTTTACGAAACTGTAAATAATAAATTGTATAGGGATATTTAAGGTTTTTTCATTCATTTTTAACATCCTACTGTCTGATAGACTCAAATATTAAAACATTAGATTAGGGAAGGTAAAATTCATGTAGGACCCCTTTACTTAACCGCTCAAATTAGAGATTAAACTACTATAGCCAAAAAATATAATACTTTATGTGAGCTTTTTGTTAATTGACGTATAGCTCAATAGGGAAACTATAAATTCTCATACGCAGTGTTGTCCCCCAATGTTTCTTTCAATTTAAATTTATTTAAAATAAAACTTTAATTTTGACCAAAATTAAAATTTATTGAGGTCAAAACTTTAATTTTGACCAAAATTAAAAGTTTATTGAATAAAAGTACAATATTTTGACTGCCAAACTATTAAATGCCGCATTAACGGAAGTGCTAGACGGTGGCCTAGCACTTCTTACCACTATTTCCTTTTTTGTAGCCAATTTCTTGCATTTAGTTTTCTTTTCATTTACTCGCATTCGTCCTCCGACTTTGAAACCTCAACCTTTTTAGCCTTCTTTTCCTTTTCTCTTTTCTTGGCCTCTTCTGCCATTTTTTTGCACATTGCCTCCTTGGCCATTTTATCGCACTTCTCTTTCTCTATGGTGTCCTTGTCCTTTTTGCCTGATCCCTTGCACTGTGACCCCTCTTCCTTTTTCTTAACTTTTTGGCATTTGGTCTTCGATTCGTCTTTCTTGCCCTTTTTAGCCTTAGCTTTTCGGCACTTTCTACATTTTTTCAGCATTTCTAACGCATGGCAAATTTTTTCCAGATCTTTTTTACCACCTTCCTCACAATTGTTTCCTTTTTTCTTTTTTTTCGGCTTGCCTTTCTTTTTAGCAGCCAGAGCATCGCATTTCTTCTTCAAATCATCGCCTCCTCCGCATTTTTTAGAGCCCATGCAAGTTGGCTGTTGCAGCTTCAGATCCTTCAAAAAGCCATCTTGTCCTTCCAGTATGTTTGGAGTCACCTCGGGTACCGGCGTCTTCCAGACAAGGTCTGTAAAAAGAACGGCTTTTATATTATATGTCCGAAGAACCCCGAGTCTTAAACAGAACTTACAAGGCCAGATTTGAACGCCATTCTGATCCTTCTTTTGTGGTTCTTGCAGGATTCTATCTGTGTCTCGCTGGATCCCGGGAAAGGGCTGTATGCTCAGCCCGGAAAAGGGCACGCATGTTGCAGGTTGAATAAGACGTTTTGTGGAACGAGAAAAAAGTTTCGAGTACTTTCCTAAAGAAATAGTGGTTCGCTGCAACATAGCGACAATATATAACCACAATTTTTAACTTTTACTACCAATTTAGACCTTAAACATGCCGAAAATTTGAAATGAATTTAGGGAATTGAATCTCTTAGAACCCTAACGTGCAAAGAGAATTTCAAAAATAATCATATGATATCCCCAGCATTGAGACCTGACATTTCGACTGAAGTTTTATTCATGGCTTATGATTTGAAATTAATAGAGTATAAAATAATCATTCCTTGTAAACATAACCCATTGGTTTTTGGGTAAAAAAACACACAATCTGGATATACTTAAATTGCGACAACATATTTACTCAGAAATTGGCTTCCCAATAGACATCCCGTAATCAAAGAAGGATTTAAGTTAAAAAACCAAAGGAAACCAAACTTAGTTTATTATATAAACAATTATATCTTAGACTTTATAAGACTTTCAGCACTTCTTTCCGTCTTTACCGCCCTTTTTCTTCTCTTCTGCCTTTTTCTTCTCGTCGGCCTTTTTCTTCGCGTCGGCCTTTTTCTTCTCGTGAGCCTTTTTCTTCTCGTCGGCCATTTTCTTGCATTTCTTTTTCATTTCCGCTTCCTGGCATTTCTTCTTTTGTTTAGCTTCCGCCTCTTTTTTCGCCATTTCTGCACATTTCTTTTTAACCGCCATTTCTTCGGATTTCTTTTTGGCCACCATTTCTTCACACTTTCTCATGGCCTCCATCTTTTCGCATTTTTTCCTCGTCTCCATCTCTTCGCATTGTTTTTTCAGTTTTTTCTCTTTTCTGCTCATTTTACGTCCACAGCACTTGCTCCTTTTGGCCAAATCTTGACATTTCCTTAGCAATGCAATTTCATTGCATTTGTCCTTTTGCTCCTTTTTGCATCCTTTTTTTCCTTTCTTTTTCTTTATTTTGTCGCATTTCTTTTTAAGTTCCATTTCGGCACATTTTTTCTTTTCATCATCGCCACAGCATTTCTTTGCCATCCATGTTACCGGGCCCAAGTCTAGATCCTGGAGGAACTTTTTTGAGCCCAAGAGAGTTTTTGGTACTACCTCGGCGACCGCGGGTTTTGGGACATGCTTTAATTGCAAACCTGAGGAAATTGAAGATTAAAGATTGATTGGAAAGAATGCAATAGGTATAACTAACCTGTTCGGTAAAAGATTTCTTTTTTCCAATTGGGCAAAATCTTTGAGCCATCCTGATCGCTTCTTTTGGATGGATGAAATCTGCGCAGGACTTTCTGCTGCCCGCCTAACTTATTGGAACCGACACTAGATGGTGGGCAGAATAGGCGCAATGTGGCTTGTAGACAGAGTCTAGAGTACTTTCGTAGAGTCATCGCGGTTGCCATCGACACAATTGTTTATAAAATTTGGAATTTATAGCTATAAATTTAAATCCAAGTACTTGGATACAAAATTAGAAAAGAATAGATAGAATAAGTTCAAAGAGAATTTAGAGACTAAAATATTGTAATGCCGAGTATGTTTGAAATAGTTATAATGACACTTATATCATGGCTAAAAAGTTAAAAAATATTGTATAAAAGGTCTGATGATCTTGCATTCTCCATTATTTCCCATTCCATGAAAGAACTATATGCTTCATGCTAGTTTCGTAACTTAAAAATTAGGATAAAATATTTACAATTTAGTAAAGTATAGGTTAATTGTGGGTGGCAATATTAAAAAATACATGGAAACTTCCGTCTTTCCATTTTCTGTAAGAATCTGCAAGTATAGCCAACCCGAGCCTCATCATACTTCATATCACGTATACGCTCCATGGTCCTTTAGAGTTTCATGCAGCTACTTTCTTTTTGGGGCACTTTTTTGGTTATACTTATTTTAAAGATGGAAATAAAAAAGTTTTCCATTGTTTAGTAAATAATACAGTATATTATTTTAAAAACAATTTCGAATTAGAAAAGTAAGGAATGTTCCGTTGTCCGTCTTGGCCATCAGACTTCCTTCTACCACTGACTATGAAATTAACGTCAGTTAACTAGATATTATTGGAAATTGACATACATTTGGATTTTAGTTCCGAAATTGTGATGGGCTAAACGGCGCCACAAAATTCTTCTTAGCCTTATACTTCGTTTGAATCAAAATTTCATGTAAACAATTTCGGTATCAAAATTTAGCGTATTCAAAATTAACCTACACAAAGATGTTAAAACGGGCCTCACTGGCACTAAGCCGGTTTCCGCAGGCTTGCTGCCGCACTTGTAACTGCCGTACCCGGCTAACAAGGGGCGTCCGGACTTTAGCCAAGATTGACTGGCGCTGGAAGGCCCTTAAAAGGCTACGGAGCAGTTTAATATGTGAGGCTGGTGGGTTAAAAAATTAACAACATTTAGATATTTTAATGTTAGCCATTTAATTTGCGTATTCTATAAACTATTTTTAAAATATTTATTATTAGGTATCAGCTCGAAACCACATTGCGTGCCCGACTTTTGTCCTGGGAAGGCTGAACACCTGGAACACGAAATGCCCGATTTTGAGCTGGTGAATCGCAAAAGCCTTCAAGAAAGTGCCAGCCTTGGTGGAACGACTAAGTCCAGCCGCAATGATTTTGGAAAAGGCCATGGAAAGGGTAAGAAAGGTGGCAGGAGGTGCATGAGCGGGGGCGGGAAAAAAGATGGAGGCGATGGCGACGAAAATTGCGACAAGGAAGATGAGGCAAACCTGGCCGAGATGTGCAAGGAAGAGGCTCTGAAGGAACAATGCAAAAAAGACGCCCAAAAGGCGAGGTGCAAGGAACTGGCCTTGGCAGAAGAGTGCCGGAAATATCATTTCTCTAAGAATTGTCTCAAGTGTATAAAGTTAGCAAGAGGTGAAAAAGAGGAGAAAGATAAAGGTAAAATTTTAAAATTTAATATAAAAAAATGTAATAAAAAGAATTTTATTTTTAAAGAAAAAGCGGAGGAGGAAGCCGACAATGAAGACGAAGACGAATGTAAGAAAAAGGAACCGACCGAGGAGGAACTAATAGCCAAGCTTAACAAGGAGTGCCAGGAAATGGCTGACCGCATGGAATGTGAGAAACAGGCCAAGATAGAGGAGATAAAAGAGGCTTGCCGGCTCCAGAAGATTCGCGAGGCTTGCGAGAAATTCGAGAAGGAAGAGAAGAAACGTCTGGCAGAGGAGGAAAGGTTGCGATTAGAAGAGGAGGCGCGTCGCAGGGCCGAAGAGGCAGCTAATAATCAGCCCAAATTATCTGAGGAAGAGATCAGGGAAGAGTGGAGAAAAATGGAGGCGGAGGCCATGTGTAAGGCCAGAGAAGTCCAAAAAGAACTCAAGGAGGCCGCCGAGCGGGCAAAGGTCCGGAAGGCAATACTTAAGTGCCGGGAGATAGAGGCCATGGAGGAGTGCCGCTTGGCAGCCGAAAGGGCCGAGGCCGAAAGGCTACGGGCCGAATGCGAAAAGGCTGCTGCTGCGGCTGCCGATAAGGACGCAGCTGAACGAGCGGCCAGGGAGGCTGCCGAGCGTAAAAAGTGCGAGGAGCTGGCCGAGGAGGCCATGTGCCTGGCCTACAGCGAAAAGATCGAGGCCGAAAAGCGGGCCCAGCGAAAGGCGCAGTATGCCAGGGAGGACCAAGAATACGATGAAGAAGACAACATGGACGACTGCGCCAAGAAGCGCCTGTCGAAGTTGTGCAAAAAGTTTGCTCAGGAAGAGGAATGCGAAAAGCTGGCCAATAAGGATCCCTGCGTCGAGGCAGCAGAAAGAGCGGCTGACAAAAAGTGCATGGAAGTTGCACTAGAACAACAGTGCGAAAGGATCAAAAAGGATGCCTTGTGCAAGGAGCTGGAGAAAAAATATAACATCAGTCCCAAAGCGGTAAAGAAGTCATCGTCTTCATCTTCCAAAGATGCAAAGGCATCCCCGCAACAGAAAGCCAAGGCGGCCAAGGCCCTCGCTGCCCAAAAAAAGAAAGAAGGCCTCATAGCCAAATGCAAAATGATGGCCTTAAGAAAATTAAAATGGAAGAAAAAGAAGGCAAATGCTATAAAGAAAAGGTGTCAGAAAATGGCTGCAATACAAAAATGCAAATGCGACAGGCTGAAGAGAAGAATGCAACGGCTGGAGGAATATTGCAAGAAAATGCGTGATGAAAAGGCCAAATCCTTGAGCAAAGCGAAATAATCCGGCCAAGACTCCAAGCATTCACTATTAAGTCGCATGATTTAAAATCCGCTTCCATTTAAAACAATACCAATGGCCCTTAAAAGCCTTGTGTGGCCCCGTAACATCTTTGCTTTCTTAAATGTGTTTTATTACGAGAAGTGTCGTACATTGGTTTTAGGCACTATTGCTGGCATATTCAAAATTTTTAAATAAATCGTTTTGAGCACAAAATTTGATATAACAAATATTATTTAAAATTGGCTTAGTTGTGCGTATTTTTACTCATTTTTTACCGTGGCTTTATAAACAATGGAGCCCACGTTAATTTCTTTAATAATTATATAACATAAACATTGAAAAAAATATGAGATTTAAAAAGAAAACAAATTTTCCTAATAACCAAAACAGAATTTGAATAAATATCTATCTCTTCACATCCTTTCCGCACAAATCGATTTCCATGTTTCAATTATTTTGGACGGAAAACTTTTTTTTTTTGAATAAATGCGAAGCGAAATAATATGGGATAGGGAAAGTCAAGTCTTTCCATAAAAGTATTAGGGACTTTCTAAATTGAAATCCATATAGTCGAATCTTGTGATTTAATAATTATGAAAAAATTTAATATCATTGCGTGAGTCTACTTTGGAGATTCTTTTAGTGATTTGCTGGCGGCGCAGTAGCATTGTTGAACTGGAAGGTTGGGTAGCGAGGAGCAAAGTTTCCGTCGCCGATAATCTGAGTGTGCTCCGAGTCATCACGTCCGGCAATGGTCGGCGCCCGGTACTGGGTCTCCACAAACTGCGGGGGCGCTGTACGAAAATAAAAAATAAATTACATGAAGTTATCTTTAGTTTTTGCAAATTATTTGATACTCACGTATATTGGGATATAAAGCACCACCTCCTCCAGTGCTGTCAGCTACGTTCCAGCCCAAAGCTCCTCCCACACCATCGCCCGCAGGTGGACTAGCCGGACTAACAGGTTGGGTAGGTGCCAGCGAAGGATCGTCGGACTGGCCAGCCGGCGGTCCCAGCGGCTTCACGCCCGATAGTGGGATAGTGCCCAACGTAATAGGTATCTTGCCAGTGAGATTTCGATGTGGACCACTAACATCACATTCTACATGCAGATCGTAGTCAAGTGCGATGATGCCACAGTTGAGAAGGTTGGTCGGCGGCAACGCCGGAATCTCCAGCTGTTGCGTGAACGTGTGAGAGTCACCTCCGTTGACGGGGCCGACACTTAGATTGGCGATAATGACCTTTGACTCTCGTTTTTCGCTACGCGGCTGGTTTGTGTGGAAAGTGACCAGTTTTCGGAGCTCGAACTTTACAGCAGTGAGATTCACGTTGCTGGCATTGTCCACCTCACAGGTGATGGGCAGAATCTGTCCCGAAACATAACCTGTCTGCGGTATGCTCGTTATTACGGTCAACGGTCCCGAACGACAACAGAAGCAGCAGAAGGCCTTCTCCAATTCAAGCTTGAATGGCTCCTTGACGCGTGGATTGAGATTCAGGTCAACCGGGGCAATAACAGTAAATGCCATCTTCATATCCTGGTCAAACTTCCAGGGTCGATCCAGGGTCACTTTGATGGTGTAGCGCACATGGCCGAACTCACCCTCGAAGGAAGAGGGCAAAGTGGCCGGCAGGGCGCAGGTGAAAGGATAAGTGTGGGTGCCAGGCGGCAATTCCGTTTCGGAACCTATAAAGTAAAGGGAATTTCAATAGATTTAAATTTTTCGAAAAGAGCTTAGGGATATTTATGTACTCACTGTTTTTTCCGCCCAATAAATAGTACTGAATCTTGAAGTACTCCTCATGACCCTTTAGCACGGTAGTCTCATTCTCTGTCTTCCCCTCACTGCTGGTCACAGAGCGCTCCTCGGTCCACTCCGTATTAGCCTCGCCCAGGAAGCGAATGATGATGCCTGCGCGGAACAAGTGTCTCTGTTTATTGAATGACAATCTACTGCGTCACAAAAATTAGCTATAAATAATATGAAAAGCCTCTCGGTCTCGCTATAGGAATGCCGGCGGATGACATCATCGCCAGCAGCCAGCATCGCCCCAATGTTTGATGGCCTCGAAATTCCATTTTGTAAACCTATTGTCGCATACTTTCTTTTGTGTTGAACTTTTCGTTAGTAATTGGCTGTTATCGGAGAAAGTGCATTTCTTGATAAAGTTCAATAACCTTTGGGTGTGAAAAACAAGGTTGTTACCGACCCATCCTCTTAAGCTACGTGGGCGGTGCACCGGCCAAATGTAGTCTCAAATGTAATCATAGAAATATGTAAGTCTCCTTGCCAAATGGATATGTCACGCATTTGTTTTGTCGCCCCCTAAGCTGTAATTATTCATAACTTATTCTGGAGGTTTCGTCACCTTTGTGACTAATAGAAGACAGTTGGTTTTTAATTAACAATCCAACAAATGATTTAATTTCGTACTCACCTCGCACTTTTTTCGGCGAGTCGAATGTGAATTTAACCTGTCCGTTGAGAGTCTGCCCGGCATAGTACGTGTTCCAGGGATTGTCCAACTGCACTTCACAACCTTTAAGGCCCATTTTGAGATTCAGTTCTACGCACTAGCAAAACTAACGACAGTTCCAGTCTGTTTTTAAACTCTATTTGGTCGCCGAATGCAGGGATTGGTGATGAGCAGTTTTGGGCAGTGTTGGAAAAGGTTAAAGAACTCTAACGATATATAAGGATAGGGATTTCAATTATACTATTTCAATGCAAAGAAAAAAAGTCAATTTTACACTTTTAATAAAAAAACAATTTTTAAATTTTACAAATAATAATTAAAGTTCAATTAATTTTTACATATGTCGTACCCTGACTTAGTCTCACGCACACACCAGACACACGGTGTCATCTCTAACTCAGTCAGCCAAGAAGAAGAAACTTTTGCAAAATTGGCTTTTCTCAGACTTCATTGATTAAACAATTCCCAGACTAGGATAAAAATGTCGCTTTTTCGTAAGCCAAAGAAAATCCAGCGTCGTGTATTTTCCAGCAATGCCGACGAGGAAGAAGGCGGACCGTCGCTGGATACGGACGCCGAAATGGAGGCGCCTCCGCCACCCATAATCACTGGAAAGCGGGACAAAGAGAAGAGCCGGAAGCCAATAAAATCACTGGATGATACCAAACCCAAGGCTTTGCTTAGCTTTGCGGATGACGGTGAGTAGCCCACGAACTTCCGCTAGCTCATATTCACTATCTAACTCCTTACAGAGGACGATGGTGAAGTGTTCCAAGTGCGAAAGTCGTCGCACAGCAAGAAAGTGATGCGTATGATGGACAAGGAGCGACGAAAGAAAAAACGCGAGGAACGGGCGGAGAACAGCGGGCAAGGAGGCGGCGAAAATGGTAGTACACAGCATTTAGAGTCGTCTTCGGGTTACGGCAATCCACATTCAGATGGTGGCGTTGGCCGATACAAAGGTGCCAGCGATCAGAGTAAAAGTAAAAAAAGTGATAATCATATGATCCAAACCGAAATACGCACAGACGACTTTGTGGTAAGGTTATTATTACTCAATTTCTTCTACAATATACCGTTTAACGAAATTTCAACACCAGAAATAAAAATTACCATTATCTTAGAGCGATTAGAAGCAATGATTTTGCAACCATGTACCTAGAGTTTGTGTTGTCTTAGTAGCTTCAATTAGAGAGCTCTTTACAACTCTATAGTTGATTAATGGCTTAGTTTGTCTTTCTAATTAAGAGTAATCTGTGATGGAAAGTGATTCGTTAAACAATTTAGGGTCTCTGTTTTATAAACATATCGTATCCACCACCGATTACAATTGCATGACTTTACCAACCGCATGAAGATTTCTCATTCTAGCGAAAAGATTCGAAAGATCTCAATTAATAGCCTTTCTTCTATTGTTCCTCAGCTAGTGGTAAAGAAATCAGAGACACCAGAGGCAATCTTAAATGGTCGTGCCGCCCTCTGCGCCGGACGGGATGACTTGAGCGATGAGGATGACCAATCCGAAGATGGTGGCCGAGACAAATCGCATCACCGTTTCTCCAAACCGGAACATCTGAAGCAAATGTTGGAAAGCGGTTCTATTCCTGATGCAGCAATGATTCACGCCGCCCGGAAACGACGTCAACGTGCTAGAGAACAGGGTATGCCAATCCCTATTTATGTTAATGGTTTTAGTCTCCAATATTAACCTATTTTGTTTTTCCAATAATTCAGGGGCTGGCGACTTCATACCCATCGAGGAGCCAAAAGAGCAACCCAAGCTAAGCACACGCCTGCCTTGTGAGGATGTAGAGGGAGACCAGTCCGATGACGAGGAGCGCATGGACATGAACGACATAACTGGACGCAAGGAACGAGAAGAGCGACGCGAGCAATTCTATGCAGTCGAAAATGATTGTATGTAGAAGGGACCGGTCCGACCCTGGGCAGATGCAGTTTGTCGGTTATGATGGTCCATTTTCTAATTATTCACTGTTTTCACAGCCACTGATGAGGACACTGACCGCGAGATGAACGAATGGGAGAACCAACAGATTCGCAAAGGCGTCACAGGGGCACAGTTAGTCCATTCCCAACACGAGTCGGTGCTTTCCCGCTTTATAATAAAGCCATCCATGACGAGTAGCGGAGGTGTCATAGATGATTCTGAGCCTCCACCCCCACAGTCTACGTCCACGCTGCTGGAAAAGGCCTACGCCAAAAACGCCTTGGAACGCAGCAATTTAGCCACGGCAGTTCGATCAGCTTCCAAGTCGAAAAAAGAAAAGGGAAAACCCGCCACATTACGGACGCCTCAGGAGATCTTCGAGGCCATCAAATCACGACTCACTGAACTAAAAGAAAGATCGGCGGATCACAGTGCCAGCATAGACAGAATCAGTACCGAACTAAAGTCCCTGAAGCTCCAGCAATTAGAATGCCAACAGAATGCTCCCACAGCAGCGGCCAAGTACAAATTTTATCAGGAGGTCAAGTGCTACGTTAAGGACTTGGTCGACTGCCTCGCCGAGAAAACGCCACTGATTAACGATCTGGAAAAGAGGGCTCTGCAGCAATACGGAAAGAACCAGCGATATTTGGTAAACCGAAGGCGCCAAGATGTTCGAGATCAAGCAAAGGAAATAGCCGAGGCATCAAGTAAGAAGCCTTTTAACTGAAACTGCTTCAGATTGTTATATTTTTCCAATTATTGTCTTTTCCAGAACCCATCTCAGCAGCTGCCCGTCGAACTCCCGAATACGAAGAGCAAGTCCGCCGTGCCGCGGAAAGGGAGGGACGACGAACGCGTCGGAGATGTGAACGCGAACGTAAGGACCTCCTTTCCTCCCATTTAGACGGCATGTCCAGCGACGACGAGATCCCCGACCAGCAACAGGAACAAAGTGTGGCTGCCTCGGCACAAATTAAATCTCAATCGTTAGAGGCATTTGAGGACGTCACCGATGATTTCTGCAAAGTGGAACTAATTTTAATGAAGTTTTACGCGTGGCGAAAAACGGACATGTCCTCGTATCAGGACGCATTTGTTAGCCTGTGCCTTCCTAAGGTTTTGGCTCCCCTTGTGCGGCACGAAATGCTATTATGGTCACCAATGCTGGACGAGTATGCCGATATCGAGAACATGCGATGGTATCAAGCCTGTATGTTGTATGCCTGCCAACCTGATGAAACAGTAGAGCAATTAAAAAGTGATCCGGATGTTAATTTGGTACCAGCATTAGTTGAGAAAATTGTGTTGCCTAAACTAACAGGTAAGCTTATTTAGTAGAGGTAATATTTCAATAACTATAATCTCATTTCAGTCCTAGTTACGGAGAGTTGGGACCCGTTGTCTACCACACAAACCCTGCGCCTAGTGGGCTTCATAAATCGACTGGGGCGAGAGTTTCCTCTAAGTGGAACCAATAAGCAGCTCAACAAACTTTTTGAATCCATTATGGAGCGCATGAGATTGGCCCTTGAAAATGATGTATTTATACCCATCTTCCCCAAGCAGTGAGTTTGAACAAGGATTTCTCTAAAGGATAGCCCCAATTTAATAAAAACTTTACTTTCCAGAGTACAAGAAGCAAAGACATCGTTCTTCCAGCGCCAATTCTGCAGCGGCCTTAAGCTGTTCCGCAACTTTCTTAGCTGGCAGGGCATTCTAGCTGATAAGCACCTCCGCGAACTGGCCATTGCATCGTTATTGAATCGATACCTGCTTTTGGCCATGCGCGTTTGTACTCCAAACGATGCCATCAACAAGGCATATATAATTGTGAATACCCTTCCAACGGTTTGGCTATTACCCAACAGCGATACCCTCAAGAACTTGGAGCTTTTTATTAATTACATTAAGCAAACTTTAGAGAGCTGTGATGCAACCAATCCAGTTTTTATGTAAGTAGCCAAATCATAAGTAAGGACTTTACCTAATTGATTTTTTCTCTTTTTTTATTAGACAATCCAGCGATAAGGCCAAGCAAATTCTTCAAAGACTTCATAGTTTATAAAAAGAACCAACCGTCACTAACTGCAATCCCTTTAACTCGATTTAGAATTCATCAAAAGAACAATGTCTGGATTGATAATAAATATTGTAACTTTGAGCATCCCCTAGTGTAAATACAAAGTGCTCAATGTTCTCCAAATCGAAGCTTGAGCTTATCGAAATCCAAATCAATCTACTAAAATGGTTTATCTATTGAGTTTTAAACGTCCAAACTGATAAAGTGGGAAAATTTGTTTTAATGCTCAATCGTTTTTTACATTTACTGATTGTAATTAGGCGACTTTCATGCATAGCAACAATAAAAACAATTTACAAACTATGAATATTTAACAATTGCACAATCAACTGCGGACCAAAACCAATTACTTTGAAAATAGAATGACTTAAATGCATGGAAAACTAAGATGATGTATAGAGCTTTATTAATCAGCCTTTGAGACGGATGCGCGGCTATAATTCTGCGCCAAGTCGATGACTTCCGTTTGCATAGATTGCAGTTGTTCATGGGCGATCTTGGACTCGCTGCTGTCTGCCGCTGACTGCAGAACTTGAAGGACCAGATCTGGAATAATGTAAAAGATTAATACTGCCCAACAAATAAAATATCGAAAGAAAAACCAACCATGATAGCGTAAAAGCAAAGCATTCTGAGGCTCGTTTAAAGATCCGCGAATGTGTTGCAGAATGGCAGAGACGAATTTTCCGGAGGCATGCAGGATACAGCCACTGATCGTGGTAAACAGGATCAACGCAGCCAAATGCAGTAGCAGCGCAGGATCACGACACTCCAGCAGCTGCTCTTGCAGCTTCTTCTTGTGGTCCGCAATCAAGAGACGGTCCTTTTTCTTGTCCACCTTTTTGATAATCATACTGCAGGACTTGAGCACAGCCTCCGTAGCCAGTTCGAATTCGTCGATGGACTTGTTCAGGGCCTTGTTTTGCTCCAACAGAGCTGAGCGGTACTGGGCGTCGCACTCCTGAGCCAACTTGTTGCGTTGATCCACATTCAGGTTGGTATTTTTGACCGTCAGATTGCACTCACTGGCCACGTACAGTGATAGTTCGTTGCAGATATCATTTCCCAAGGATTTAAGCAGGTACTTGACCAGTTGGGTTTGCGTATCTTGAGGGAAGAGTTTAAGGCCTTTTTCGTAGAGACGAATATCGACAAGAAGCGTGTTAATACGATCTTGGATGGCAGCATGAGTCTGGCGACGATTGGTCTGTGGAGTTGCCTCAAACAACTCCTGGGCACGTGCCAGCGCCGTCTGATTAAACTGGCTTTAAATGATATTAAGGAAAAAAGTTAATAACTGTTTAAATGGAGTTATTAAAACTAGACTCACCTAGTGTATAAGGCTGCTATGGATTTGGCCAGATGTTCCAAGCCCTCTTCCTCCAGGGTGGCCGTAATCAGTTTCACAATATCACCTGTCTTTACAAGTTCCAATGGCTTGACAGTCTTCTTATTACCCCCACCACCACCACCTCCTCTTGTATTCTGCTGGAAATCTTCGTCGTCGTCACTTTCGTTCTGAGCTGCTGCCGCCCTTCCTCTAGCATGCTTTTTCGTGGACTTTGTCTTGGTTTCTCGACCTTGGGCTCCTCCACCCGCTTTTCCAGAAGCAGCCTTCTTTCTTCGCTCATCGCGCTTATCTACCTTGCCATCGTCCTCCAGATCTTGTGCCGAGGAGTTTCCCTTCTGGGCCAAAGTCTTTTCCACGATATGCTGCTGGTAAACCCCACTGTCGATGGCCGCCTTGGCTTGAGTTTCTGCTAGAGCCTGGCAGGGTTGAACCAACTGCTGGAGGTAAGGTTGCGAAAATACTGAAAGAAAACAAACATTAATAGGCAGAATTCGGTAAAAATTGAATGAAGGTCCTCACCTATGCTGTCCAAGTACACAAAGTTGCTGGGGTTGCTTTGCTTTTGGGCCATAATAGCAGCAAACACCTCCTCGATGTCCTCTTCCGACAGGTTAGACGGCAAAATGCTGGAAAGGTCAAGATATTGCTTGGTCGCACTGCACTCGTTCAAGGCTGTGACCACCGTTAGTTCCACCAGTCTAGCACCGAGGGCAACGCGCTTTAGGAAGAGGAACTCCTCGGTGGGAAACTGCTTTCGAATGTACGTCTTGGGGTCGGATATGCCCAGTTTTTGGATGGCATCGTACTCCAAGAAGCTGTTCTGCTTATAGAACGAGTTTACCCAATCGGCTTGCGTTTTGGCATAAACGTGCGGCACATACTGAGCGTTGGCCATCTTGGATGTAACCTGACCGGCCGGAGAAATCTCATCTAACAGCGAGTGGAAGATTTTCTCCTGCACACCAATCTGCTGCAGGATTACAGCGACATTCGTGGGCCGGGTGATGGCCGCCAATGCTCCTCGAATCTTGGCCTTGCAGCGCTGAATATAGGCTTGCGTGAAAAACACTCTCGGATTGGTGGCATCCTGCCGACCCTTAATGATCTTTCCCAGGTGCTTCTCTACCACGTCTTGCTGCAAGAATTCAGAAGGCAGGTCGAATTGGGAGGCTAGCTCCGATATAGAGATCTCTCCCCTTAGAGCTAGTTTCTCATTGATCTCTTGAGCGATATGAGTGATGTATTCCTCGTCAATAAGCTGGCCCAGCACGAGCTTAATGCTCGGGTTTTCGGCAGCAATACGCTCGGCCAAAGTAACGACACGAGAAAGGTCCACATTTAGGGTTTTGCTGACCTCCACCAAATTGGCTCTACCTCCGTTAACAAAGAGTTCATCCTGGATTTCTCGCTCCAAGTGGTCTGGCGTAATGTATTCCTTTCCGTCTACGGTGAACACCACGTCAAGGAGCTTTTTTTCCAAAAGAAGCGTCACAATCTCCACGCAGTTTCGTTCCGAGAGCCTTACAAGAGATGAAACCAATGAAACAGGCAATAAGTATAAGATTTTAGCAATAACTTACTTTTGAAGCGTTGACGTCAACTGCGCTTTCTGAAAGTCGGCCGCCAGGCGCTTGATCTCATCCCAATCACTACCCATTTTTGTTATCAATGCCAATGATATACAAAATGTAACCTGTCAATATTGAATAAGATTATGTTACCTTCCGAAGCAGTCTGACAGATTCTTTAAAAGATTTGACAAATTTTATAGTCAAAAGTAATATATCATATGGTTATATCGTATCAGGATAAGATTACTGATCATGAATACGTATGCATATGTGTATTGTACGTACGTATGGGGTCAATGAGGTCTCCTTTGCAGCGTTGCACACTTGACGAAATTTTATACCCTTTTATATAAAGGTATAAGAATAGACCAGGTTTTTAGTAGAAAGCCGACAAAGTCCACCTGCCTTGCTTTTTAGAGGGATCGATTTTGGTTATTGCCTTGTTTTGGGCCAGTCTTGAAACGTCAACAAAAGTGCAGCAAGTGTGTACACACCATTACGGACGAACATACCACCATTTCCAACACTGAACTTAGAGTTACCATTATTAGGAAGTTAATTGAGATTTAAATATTTAAAAATATATGTAAAAAATATATAAAAATATATAATATATATGTATTTAAAAAAAATGTACTTATCTTTTTTGCTCTTAAAACAATCTATCTACCTACAGACAACTGACTATTGGAATGTTTGGACATCTCGATACTATGTATTCCCGCCAACGTTAAGAATATTTGTTTGATTCGAAATACTACTAACAGTTTATACAAATTTTATAAATAAATTAAATAAAGTTTAATAACAAAGGTCTTTTTAAAAAGGTCTGTAGTCTCCTTATTTTTAAAAATAGACTTCCACTGTCTGTGTGACCAAATGAAAATAATATCGATTAATTTATGGATTAATTTATTTTCGATAATAATAAATATTATTGACATCCCTGGCATCGCTGTTTTCAAAAAATCAACGGTTCGTCGTCGAGGGTGCGTCTTTTGCTTCTTCGCGGACAATTTTTATACATCTTCCATTTTTCAAACAACGCCGACGGTGTTCAGGAGTTCAAAAGTCTTGCCGTAGGTAAGCATTTTCAAATAAGATTAAAATAACTATCAGTTACCTGTTTCGAGGAACCAATAGATAAATCAATAATAACCACAGACCCTCTGTGAAGGCACTTTTCGCTTGTGTCATGGAATTTTAGCCCCCGAGCGCAAGCGCTTTCTATGTGTGTGTATGATTCCGAGATGCAGCTGCCTTAAAATTGTATTTAGCACAGCTGGCATAAAGCATACATATGCATAAAAATAACACATCCTCTTGATTCCCAGTCTTATGTTGGACACTCTCCCCATCTGCCGCCAATGTTTGCGGTGTATTTTAGTCAAGAGATTGCATGGGGCAGCAACAAAAAGGAAAGAAACTAGCTGGAAGCGGTTTAAACCGAATTTTGGCCAGCATGCATAGCAACCTAGTTACTGTTGTTGCTGTTCTGCTCGGCCAGTTTCCGTGTGCATCACTGTTTAAGCTCTAATCGAGTCGCAGATACATTTTAAGTAGGCTCCGCTGCCAAAAACTTGATTTCCGTCCGTCCCCTAATGTGCTTTTGCCATATTTATTTACTTATTTAGTGGCCGACAGTCTCGAGTAAATGGCGAAACCATAACAAAGCAAACAAAAGATGAAACGAGGAATAGCGAGGGCCTACAATTTCAAGTTATATCCAGATTGCTCATTACTCATAATTTCTACAAAAATTACCAATACCTAAGCACACGTCGATTTATATATTGGTCGAAAAGGTAGTCGTGTGTGTGAGCCGGCAGTCGCCAAAGGGCAACCACAACTGCACAGACAAAAACAATTACAAATTACCCATTACTGATGGCTATCTCATGTCAACCCATTAACGACTTCCTTAATTGCACGTTTCAGCGTAGATAAAATTTTTTTTTTTTTTAAAGAATAGAATACTTTGAAAAATCGTTTCAGTGTAAAAGAAAAAGGTAAAAATAACTGCCGTACTCTTTCGTTTTTTTTTTTTTGCTGCCCTAGAATTTGCCCAGGTGGAAAACGTTTAACTGTGGGAATAGCCATAGCCGCCACGCCACCGATAGAGGCATCTAATCTAGAGATCTTTGACTCTATGCGGTCATTCACATTGCTTTGTTTTTCCATGCCCCAACATAATTGCTAGTGTGGGGTTTAAGCCACATTATATGTTTTTTTTTTTGTTTGCCAGCCAGCCACCCCGAATGCGATACACCCCCGGAGACTAGATGGGGCGTCGGGTGGGCAACGCCTCCCCCAGCGGATGACGCATTATTACAAACATTTTACAGAACTTCTGGCAGATGTCATCGCCTCTCTGGCGACCTCTTTTTCCACTTTCCCAAGTACAGTATAAGTAGGAAAGTAAACTGCCAACGAGCAACATAACTTACTACAGTGGGATGTCTGTCAAGTGGCGATTAGATCTTTTTTAATAAATTTCTAAAGAAAATTAAAACAAAAAGCTATAAAAATAGTACCTGTTTTGTTGAAAAATATATACACATAGTTTTTATTTTTAACATAAATCTTTTCAAGCCTAACCCACTGTCACTTGACACCAAAACGAAAAACGAGTAAAAATGGCAAAAACAACAACAAAGAAAGTGCGACCGCCACAAAACGGCGCAATTTCAGTTAACGGCAAAGTGCAAAGCGCGAACCAGTAAAAATAGATAGGGGAACTGATGAATTTTGATGTATAGAGAGAGGCCCAATAAATGGGGAGCCATTGGTTATAGAGGGAGTCCAACAAAGAGTTCTCATTATCACTCCATTTCCCGAATCCCTTTGTAGGTGTCAGTGTTTCTACCATATCCCCACATCCGCAAGTGGCGTGACTATATTTTCCCCATCAAGTCAGTGTTAGAATTAGAATCATTTGTATGCGATTGTGTTTCCTCCAACCACACCACTTTTGACTCACTTTTCATTGCTATTCATTGCAGCCGACAGTCAGTGAGAGCAGCAATCAACACAATGACATCCACCGAGCTTAAAATTGGACTTAACAGCAGTGCTCGTCCCTCCAGCCGAGTGCTGAAGCCTCCAGGCGGCGGCCACACCAACATCTTCTCGGAGCCCGAAGTGGCCGTGAACGCCCCACGTCCCAAGTACAACCAACAAAACTCCTCGAATCTCAACGCCTGCATGGGCTCCACCGATGCGAACCATGCTGTCGAGAAGCTGCGCGAGGAGGTGGTTGCCCACAAGGAGGAGGCCAAGTCGGCACCCGCCAGCCAGGCAAAGGAGCCGGCGAACAAGCCAGCGGCCACGAACGGAGAGTCACGTGGTCGCGTGCCACCAGGTGGATTCTCATCGGGCGGCTTTTGGTAAAAGGAGGGAGGCCGTTTCAAGAGGAGCAGCTGCCAAGCATTTAATGACTCACCACGACACCAACACATCCTCAGCATCCTCCAACATATGCATACATAAAACTATAAATATAATTCGCTTATAACATACGTATACACAAATACCCAGAGGCGCATTAACTATACTCGTACGCAGATCCCCTAAGAACATCTCGATTATATTTTAAAAATCTGTCAGCAAGTTTTGTTCATATATATCTGTATCTGTCTTATCATCCTTGTTCTCGCCTAAGCCAAAACTTTAACTCGTCTAACGCAATTGTTAAATATTGAATTAACCATGACTCCGCCCCCAAAATTTAACTAAAAAAAAAAGGAATTTTCTATTGACTGCTAAAAATCTACCACCTAGTTTACCATATGTACTTACCGTGTCCACATCGGGATTCAAATAGTCTGTAAATCAGTTCAAAAAATGAAATCCTTTTATAACTATCTACGTATTCCAAAATAAAAAAACTTAATTATAAATTTGTCTTTGTTTTAATGTTTTTTTTTTATTGGTTTTTTGTTAAGAGTTCGCCGTGAGGTTAAAAATGCATTTCAACCTACAATTATGAGTCAGAAGACACTCCATTTGGTCACGAAATTAATTCTAGTATTTATTACACTCCAGTTTAGAATTACAGGTGTCCTTTAAGTCGTCGTGGTCGATCCCTTTGTTAAAGCATATAACTATTTATAATAAATACAGTATCAAGTGTATTTTGGTAGTCGACTTATGAACTAGTCGCCATATCAATAAAACTAACAATTAGATGAATGTGTGGACAAACGGGATGCGACTTTCAGATGTCGGCTTTTTCTTGCACTCTTCACTCGGCATTGTCGATCCGGATAAGTTTTGTTGTACCATTGAGAGACTGTCCATTCGTTGACCTTAAAATTAGGGATTTGTTTCTTTTCTTGAATATATTTTTTTGTTTAGGCTATTCAGACTATTGGCTAATTAGATCTTCATATCGTTGATGTAGGAGTCCAGTTCGGCATCCAATTCTTCGGCAGTGGGCGCGGCCTTACGTTCACGTCGCTGGCCACCACCACCACCGCCAGCTGCTTTGCCAGCGCCTGCACCCGGACGTTTGAAGCTTCCACGGCGCGAAGCACCTCCAGCTTGGCCACCTGAAAAATAAATACACATAATTATAAAAAAAATACAAATTTCTACTTTTCGCAAATCTAGAGTTAATGTTAATTAAATATTCATTTTATATTAAACTCAATGAAACATCTATGGTTATGCAAAGTTGCCTAATCTACCGCCAAAAATGGTCATTTTGAAAAAAGTCTGATGTTCATGGCCAATTTGGATACGCACCACCACGCTTGAATGAAGTCGATGCAGCACCGCCCACGCGACGCTTGACATCGGCTGCGGCCACGGGGCGCGACAAGGAAGCCACATCAGAAACGGCCAGTTGAATAGTCATGGGGCGTCCGTCCAGGGGCACGCCGTGGTACTGCTTGATGGCCTTCAGAGCATCGCCTCGACGCTCAAAGATTACATCAGCGGTTCCTGCAATCACAAATAATAGAAAATTAATAAGAGAAAAAGATTTAATAATAATACTACTTACCCAATGAACGGCCAGAACGATCATAGTGTACAGCTGCCTTCTTCATAGGGCCAAAGTCGTTGAATAGTTCCTTGATGTCCGTGTTGGACACACCGTAGTCCAAGTTGCCAACGATTAGTCGGGTGGGGCCGGTCCCGGGGGCACCCCGTTTGGGTCCGTCGTACATATCGTGCTTCCAAGCGCTGTTCACATCGCCCTAGAGGTGGGGGTAGTATTAGGTAGAGGGTATGTTGGTTGGTTGGTTGGTTCGAGTCGAACGCGAGGAGGGAGTAGCAGTGACAGTGACAGTAGCAATGGTCGCATCCTAGCCTCTTCAACAAAGGACTGCCATTTAAGGTCCAGAACACTAGAAATGTTTTGCTTAGAAAAACGTAAACGGGAAAAGAAAGTGACTCATTGCCACCAGGTAAGCGCAATGCTGATGTTTAACTTTTGGTTCTGTTTTTTATTAAGTTTCTGTAACGTAAAAACGAGGTTAAAGAAAACTTGGTGTTGAGGTCGCTTGGATTGCAACTGCGAAGAGATCAAGGTCGTTTCGGTTATTGGTTTTGGTTCTGCTCATAGAACTGCTGCCCTTGGAAGAGCGGAGATGGGATCTCTCTCTCTATCCTTGTCCACCGCTAACGAATACCATTCCCGGTAAGGCCAGTGACACCGTTAGCTGCGGCCATTTTGATTCGCATCCGTTAGGTACTTTAGGTACTCGAACTGGTGTTAGTGTCAATGGACTAGCACTGTCCTTGCTAACATGCAAGTATGAATATTCTGCTCCGGCTGCTCCGTAGCCCCGATGCCAATTCGACTCTGCTCGTGGCGAAACGTTTCAATTACCCTTGGGAACTTGGACTTCTGCACCGCGCCGGGGCGCCCGCCCGGCCGGCGACCCTTCAGCACGCCACCGCCGCCGCTTCCACTTGCCGGGGCTGGTTTTCGCGGAGATCCGCCGGCGCCGCCACGTCGTGCGCCGCCAGCAAAACGCTGCGGTCCACCCGGACGACGAGCGCCGCCAGGACCACCGCCACGACCTCCCTGCGGCTTTTTCTGCGTGCGGTTGGACTTGATAATATCATCCAGGCTCATTTCGATTTTGTCCACCATTTTGCTGCTCGTTTGTTGTTCTTCGGTCGCTATTAATATCCTTAACTGGGCGGGCTCACTAAAGTTACTAATCCGTGCAGAATGCAAAAAAAAGCGCGTGGAAATTTCACAAAATTCTGTAAAAACGACGCACGAAAAATAATTTCTTTTTTCAAGATGGCGAACCCGGAAAAAAGTGTTGAACAACGTCCGGTTCTCTTATCTACATATGATGTAGATAAATTCTTTTAACAGAACTAGAAAAGTTATTTTTTTGCAGTTGATTTGGTCACACTGCCATTTTTATAGCAAAAAAAAAAAAGAAAAACGATTTGCATTCCGAAAACTAAAGTATTTTAATCATGTTTATTGTGGCCGTAACTGGTGGCATTGCCTCTGGAAAGAGCACAGTCAGCAAAGTTTTTCAAAAACAGGGTATCCCAGTAATAGATGCAGATAAAATCGCCCGTGAGAGTGAGTAATAAGCGAGTATATGCAAAGTGGAGCACTTCCTTTTTATGATTTGTAATTAACGACAATTGGCAATTATTAACGTTACATTTTTAAATAGTTGTGGAACCAGGTCAGCCCTGCTGGAAGCAGATTCGAGAAATCTTCGGCGATGAGGTGTTGTTGCCCAGCAAAGAGATCAACCGCGCTGTCCTCGGGAAGATGATCTTTGAGGATAAGGAGCTGCGGGGGAAGCTTAACAAGATCACCCATCCCACCATACACCGCAAGATCTTCTGGCGGGTGTGCAAGTTGCTGGTCTCAGGGCATTCCTGGATAGTTCTGGATCTGCCATTGCTGTTCGAAACTGGAGTTCTCATGGATTACATTCACAAAATTGTCTGCGTATCCTGGTGTGTTGCATTTTATTTTGAAGCATTTTTGAATAACTAATGGTAGGATTGTATTTTTAGCGATCAGGATAAGCAACTGGAACGATTGATTGCCCGCAATGAGCTATCAGAGACGGAGGCACGGCATAGGGTGAACTCGCAAATGCCCCTGGAAAAGAAGTGCGAGAAATCCCACTTCGTCATCGACAACAATGGCAGCGTCGAAGAAACAGAGTCGTCAGCCATGAGCATATACAACATGATGTGTGAGTCCAAGCAGCACTGGCTTAACCGCATTTCCTTCCTGGGCCTATTTCTGATCGTTGGCTTCTCGATCTACCTTCTGTTGAAGGTCTTCAACAAACTGCCTGCATCTTGGCAGATGTAGACGCCTATATGCCATTGAATGCTACTTTTCGTGTTAATGCAATTGAAACCAAACAAACCAATTATGCTATTTTAACGCTTGCTAGGGAAATATACATACATTAAAAGAGAAAACTCAAAATTCATGAAATGATTCGGCTTGTCGAAAGCATATACTTGGTGAGCAACTTTTATTTACAGCAACCAGTGGCGGCTGATGACAAGTCCTCCGCACAAAGAATATCAAAACGTAACAGACAAGCTACAGAACTGTCTTGAGAATGGAGGGATGGGATTTAATTCTGGTTTCTGGCTAAGTATTCGCTGGCGCCAACGGTTCCTAAAGTAGAGCCGCCGTCTGATGGCAGTAATCCACAAACGTCTGAAGTCCGTATCGGGTCACAGCTTTCGTGACATTGTGGTTGAGCTGAATCGGATCCTGGACCACCATCGGTTTTTTCAATTGCAATCCGCAATCGGGATTCTCCAACACATAACTTGAATATCTAAAAAAAAAAAACATTGATAAGGTGAACAAATTCAAGGCCTCTCCACAATATCTGTGTTACCTGTTCGGCAGTGCTTTCTCAATATTCTGGATCTCAATGTTGCCCTGACCGAAATATGGACAGACCATATACTGCTCGTAGTTAAAGTTCGAATAGTACAAGAAGAAAGATCTCAGATAGCCTTTGACGACGGGCACAGTTGCCTCTAACTGCTGCAGCCCCAGCTCACTTGGCGCCTTCTGAGTGAAATTAACTATCCAAGCTGAAAGTTTAATTAAAATAATGAGTATTTAACAAAATTTGGGAACCACCTAGATCAACTCACGTCCCACGAGCTGCTTCAAGGACTGATCCTGTTGCAGGGCCGTGATGGGAGGCAGTAAACGCTGCAACTGCAAGAAGTAGATAACCATCAGAGTAATACTGTACGTTGAGATCTGCTCCGTCAGCTTGCAGCGCTCCAACCAGTTCTTCACATAGATGCACATGTATTGAGCTGCAATAAATCGCAAAAATATTACGTGGCTTTGCGCAGTCAGCTATTCTTACTTAGTGGCTGTGATTCGAACAGATATTTCAACAGATTCGTGTTGCAGAAGCCCAGACTGTTGAGGCAAATGTCGCACTCGATCCCGGTTGGCAAGTGGCAGGTCTTGATTATCGGGACACGAGCCTGCTCTATGACCTGCTCCAAAAAAGGGGCAATTAATGGCAAGTTACCTTTTGCCCTTTTAACATTTAATTACATTTATAATGCGCCAATCGTCACTGCCACAAAAAACGGGTCGCATCGCCCGTAGCTTGCTAATCGTGGCCTTTGAGGCGCGGTGCTCGAATATATGAAATGTATTTCCAATGTCTACAAATACATCCAAATCGGAGGACCTCGTTCCGATGCCTGTAATACGGGAACCAAATTTGTAGATACGCAGCTGTTGGGCCGGAAACGCCGGCGACAAAAGTTTGCACAAATCCTGCTCAATAACGTTGTACTCGGGAATCACTTTCAGCTTGTCCGCTATAGGGTACTTGTCTTTAAACACATTAGTTATCTCTCCCACAATCATGGCCTTGGCCTCTGGAATTAAAACATAAATTAATGATATGAAGTGTATAATATAGGAGTCTGATTGTAGAGGCAATGGTCCAGTACTAAACCCAGCTTAGGCCAGTTGTCCATACTGATCTACACCTACTCTTGGGTAGCTGCACCACCATTTCCTGACGCGCCTTAACCTGGACTTTTTTTTTCTCTTGCTTTGTTTGTTGTTGTTGCTGTTGTTGCTGTTGTTGCTGTTGCTGCTGATTTGGGATCGGTTGATTGTTGGGATTGGGATTTGGATGATTTTCAGACAAATGTGCCACCGCCTTGGCGATAGTAGTACCGACGATTCGATTGGTGCAGGCGCTGCAACTGAAGGTACGCTTGATCGTTTGCAGCTCTTTGGGCTGGACAAAGACCACTCCCTCGACCGAGGCAGCCGGCTCCCGGGGCAACACGTAGGTCGGATTCCGGTCCAGATATTTTTCGATACCGACAACAATACGCTCCAGAAGCTTGGTCAGATACGGATCTAGTTGCGGGGTGCCACTCTTCTGACTCACTGCCGTCAGAGTTTCCAAAAAGAAGTTTGCCTCCATGGTCAGGGGATTCATCTGCAAGATCACCTCGTCACTTGAGCTTGATAAGCTTTCTATGTGTGTGTGTGATCCAAAGTTTACTCACGTAAAGCAGTTTGTTCGGATTATCCTTCTCGGCCATCGCCTTGTTTTTCTTTTTGCTCTTCTTAGTGGGTGCGGGGGTGGGCAAGGGCCTTGGAACTGCAATGGGGGCGGAGCAAGAAGGGACCTGTGCGGAGGCAAGAATGATAGTGGTTTAAATACGAAAATTTTTGATGGGACTCGACGGCGCTGGGCCTTTGTTTGGTGCTAAAGATGTTTGAATAAATGTGGGGGAAGCGTAGCGATCGTATTATCAGCTGATTGTAGTAGGGTAGCCAGCTCAGTCGAAGCTTGCCGGTTTATCAAAGCTGTGTGTGTGTGTGTGAATGAATGTGTGATAGTGGGGGGTGAGCAACAAATCCTCATTATATATGTACAAATGTTTGTATATATACAGCGGACTGTCGCTGGTAACTGAGTTAAAAAAATAAATACACAAAAAAGCTCAAAATCAAAGCGCGGAATGTTTATTTTCCCGGGGAAGACCCCTTGTTCAACTCGAACCATAATGTAACGGACATTCAAAAATGTCGCCAGCTAGCCCTGGAACGTCAGCGTTTACATACATTTCTCTTTTCCGTTTCTATCTGGCGTAATTGGTGGTACAATTTCTCGGCGTTGCTGTAGGTGGCCTTGTCCACCCAATAAAACCTAGAGTCTTCCAATTCGATTCGCATTATCACTTTCAAGTCGATTTTCCGTATCAGAGTAAATAACAGCAATAAAATCGCGTGCGGTTAAAACAGCGTCACGTAAATATGCGTTATCTGCAACAGCGGACTCATCATCTGTTTTGGGGGGTTGCCGGATCGAAGCTTTTAAGGAACTTACTTTAAAATTTATAAATTCTTGTCTTAATTTTAAAACATAAATAAATATTTAAATCTTTTCATAAATATATATAAAATATCTTCTTTACATAACTATATATCTGGAGGATCACTTATCATACGAATAACAGAGGAAGTCGTTTATCTTGAATTCAATTAAATAAAGAAAAAACTACAAATCTGAAGAACTGTGTTTTTATATTGTTTACTTATTTAACTATATTGAGACAACAAAAAATACATTTAAAACTAAAAGAAAATGCTTCACAGATGTATATTTTTTTTAAATTGTAGGTAGAGAAGTTTTTTTCTATTCTAAATGGTTGATTCCCGTAACATTTGACGCCTTAAACAAAAAGAAACGGCAAATATAACATTAATAACATAATTTAACAAAAATTGGATATGAAAAAAAATATTTATTTGCAAGTTGCAAGAAAAATTGACAAGACACCTAGTGTTGCCAACTAATATTCGATATTTCGATAGATTTGCTCTAAAATTTAGATCGTTGGTATTTTTACAAATCATAGTATGCGGGCATCAGAAAATTTTTCATATAAAAGCAGGCCGTGACTAACAGTTTTCATTACCTACGTTTGTCAAGCCTCATAGCCGGCAATTCGAACGTATTCGCTCTCCGAGTCAGACCTAAAATCAGCTCCACACATTTTGTGAACTTTTTTGTCGCGTGTGAAAAAAAACTACTAAAAACTCAATATGGTAAGTTTTAGCAAGTAAAAAAAAATCAAAATAAAAAAGTGATACAAGTGAAAAGTATTCGGCAAAATTTTCGTTAACCAACGCGTGTTTTTCGACAAGATGGTGGCCGCTTGGTAGCTAAATCTGCTCAAGTGGTGACGTCATGGCACCGCTGCCAAGAGAAAATTTTTCATAAAAAATTTAATAGAAAAGAAATTATTGCAAACATGTAGGGAAAAAGAGTTTTCTCTTTTTGAATTTTTTCTGTAATTTCCGACAATTTTCATGTAAATTTTATTTTAGTAAAAGTAGATTGTCCGCTTTCTGTCGTTTATAATTTAATTTCAATCTAAATTATTAATTTCTTCGGCATTTGCAAAATTTGCATAGAAATTTCAAGAGAAAATGCCGACAATTTCCGGCATTCGGCGTTTGAGGAGTACAGCAGCATAAAAATGTGTACACCATCAAGTTGTCCCTTTCGCACACACCAATACATAAGCCAGGGCCGCTTTGAGTTGGGCGCGGCTCTGAAAATCGATTTTTTTCTTGGGCGTGGATATTAATCATTGCTTTTCTTCTTTCCTTATAGCGTGAATGTATCTCTATCCATGTTGGCCAGGCTGGTGTCCAGATTGGTAACGCCTGCTGGGAGTTGTACTGCCTGGAGCACGGTATCCAGCCCGATGGCCAGATGCCCTCTGACAAGACCGTCGGAGGCGGTGATGACTCGTTCAACACCTTCTTCAGCGAGACCGGAGCTGGCAAGCATGTGCCCCGTGCCGTGTTTGTGGATCTGGAACCCACTGTGGTGGATGAGGTCCGTACCGGCACCTACCGCCAGTTGTTCCACCCCGAGCAGCTGATCACCGGCAAGGAGGATGCTGCCAACAACTACGCTCGTGGTCACTACACCATTGGCAAGGAGATCGTGGATCTGGTCCTGGACCGCATCCGCAAGCTGGCTGACCAGTGCACAGGTCTGCAGGGCTTCCTGATCTTCCACTCTTTCGGTGGAGGCACTGGCTCTGGATTCACCTCCCTGCTCATGGAGCGTCTTTCCGTGGACTACGGAAAGAAGTCCAAGCTGGAGTTCGCCATCTACCCAGCCCCCCAGGTCTCCACTGCTGTGGTCGAGCCCTACAACTCGATTCTGACCACCCACACTACCCTGGAGCACTCCGACTGCGCCTTCATGGTCGACAACGAGGCCATCTATGACATCTGCCGTCGCAACTTGGACATTGAGCGCCCGACCTACACCAACCTGAACCGTCTCATCGGCCAGATTGTGTCCTCGATCACCGCTTCCCTGCGTTTCGATGGTGCCCTCAACGTGGATCTGACTGAATTCCAGACCAACTTGGTGCCCTACCCACGTATCCATTTCCCTCTGGTCACCTACGCTCCAGTCATCTCCGCGGAGAAGGCCTACCACGAGCAACTGTCTGTGGCTGAGATCACCAACGCTTGCTTCGAGCCTGCCAACCAGATGGTCAAGTGCGACCCTCGCCACGGCAAGTACATGGCCTGCTGCATGCTGTACCGTGGTGATGTGGTGCCCAAGGACGTGAACGCCGCCATTGCCACCATCAAGACCAAGCGTACCATCCAGTTCGTCGACTGGTGCCCCACTGGCTTCAAGGTCGGTATCAACTACCAGCCACCCACCGTGGTGCCTGGTGGCGATCTGGCCAAGGTGCAGCGCGCCGTGTGCATGTTGTCCAACACCACGGCCATCGCTGAGGCCTGGGCCCGTCTGGATCACAAGTTCGATCTGATGTACGCCAAGCGTGCCTTCGTCCACTGGTACGTCGGTGAGGGTATGGAGGAAGGCGAGTTCTCCGAGGCTCGTGAGGATTTGGCTGCCCTTGAGAAGGATTACGAGGAGGTCGGCATGGACTCCGGAGACGGCGAGGGTGAGGGTGCTGAGGAATACTAAGCCCCGCCAACGCTCGTAGGGGGCGTCATTGGTGGGCGGGCCACCGTCGAAATCAATGCCTACGCCTCCAACCCACAAATACATTCACTGCAACACTCGAGAGCGTTCGAATTAATAGAAGCAGAAAACCACGAAAGTATTTTATCCACAAGAAGACACGTACAGCAGAAAAGCCAAGCTAACTCAGCGTTAAGTTGTGTACAAGAATAAAATCGGCAAGACATCGGTGTTGACAGTTAAAAAAGAAAACCTCTGTAGTCTTTTTTTAATTATTTTTTCCAGCAATTCTGGTGGGGCCATTATCCATTCTGGCGTGAAGAGTTCATTGAACGTGGTGGATACGCTGGCTGTGGAAAAGCAAAGCAGAGCAGAGCGGCTGCCGTTCACTTCAGCTATAATTAGCGCTTTCTATTTTCCCCCCAATTCGTGCCGCATTTACGGTTTGTTGCAAGTGCAGACTGTACTCAGGCTGTGTGTGGCATGATGCTGCACTTTCTGCAGTTTTCTCCTTTCACAGCCCCTCCCCCCATCAGGCGGTGGGCGGGGAAACCGCAGTATTGATTCTCTGCGACGATGAGTCATCATTTTTTTTGAGGTCGCAGCATAATATCTCATCGCCATAGAAACGCCAACACGGCAAAGCGATGACTTCATTTCTTAACTGGCATTGTACACGCCACTCATAAATCTGCGTATGTGGGTAAACACTTGATTACAGCAGTGGGCAGATCATTTAAATATAATATTATATAAAGCCTATATTATAAACAAGAAATATGGTCTAAAGATGTAGGCTTTGGTCTAAAAATTTAGGACTTCTTTCATTTGCCAAAGTAATGTTATATTTCTATGTAAAAACCCTATTTTCTTGCCCCTAGCTGTGTATATAATGTATTTATATACTTTGTTCCGGCCTTTTCCAGGGGTTGCTTTGCCCAAATTGAAATTCAAGCCTAGGTAAACCGGCTTGTTGTTGTTGTAAGAGCCGCCTGATGCGGCATTTTCGAGAAACAGACCGAGGAGACAGCTGCAGCAGCTGCTATTGAATTTCCAGAAATACCCAAGATGTGGGCAGGAAATGCAGCCCAAGAGGGCCAAGTGGCCTATAAATATGTACTGTATGCAATGCCAAGGCACTAACACAAACATATAGAATTATATATAGAGCCGGCGCCCTTAATTGAGGTTATGTCTGAAGTCATTAAGTAAATCTTATGTTCTACTTAAAACCAGGCTAAAATGGTTAGATTTTTTATGGTCATGAAGTTTACACCAATGGCCAATTATTAGTCGCATTTTGAAACACTCTAATCATCAAATGGTGTTTTTTTGTTAAACATTAAAACACAGCTGGCCAGAATGAAATCAGAGTGCCGACATTACCAAATTTGTACATAAAGGTGGTGAGCCAACCAAGCTGACGGTGTCTCGAAACCGGCTTGGAAAGGTGATAGCCTAGTGTAGGCGGATCAGGTGGGTGGCTAGCAAGTGATATCCACCCAAATGGAAATGTTTTATTTAGGGTAAATTCATGAGTAAAGCTCTAACGTTTGATCAATAAAACGAAGAGTTTAGCAAATGTTTGAAAAGTTCCCACTAATACATTTATTATTGGCATTTCTAACTCTATTATGGATTATTTTTTGTAAATAAAGTAAGTTTGACATAAAAACATGAAAAAAGCTTCACAGGAAATAGTAATATTAATATATCATAAATTTAAATATTGAATCGGTTTTAGCGTTTCTATTTTTAATTTCAAAGTATAAACTAAGCAAATTTTTACCTTTTATTTTACTTAATTAATTAATGCTTCATGTTTTTTATACATGGTCTAAATAATTATACAAGGACTAAATTAAATTAATCATTAAAACTGATCTAAAAATATCGATTACCGACAAGCGCAAAAAGTCTTATACCGATGAGTGGCTATTGTCGAATTGGCGTTGCCAGATAGTGCCCGTCAAAATTTGAATTTGAGAAACTACAAAAGAGTATTCATTTTTATTTTATTTTTCTAATTATTTATGGTAAAATTAAAATATTTAATTTTAAATTGCCGGATGGGCAGGAAGTTTGGGTTATTATTCATCATTATTATTATTTCATCAAAATCAGATGCTATATAAGACCACATGTGTCAGTTACCGCTTTGCAATCTTTTTTTTTTTGAAGAAAGTTGGGAGCAGAAATAAAAGTACATACATGCATATATTAAGATATATATATGTATATATTGAAAGTTCTCCACTAAATGTAATTTAGCGCAGTAAGCCATGTCAAACTTTCCTTGTACTGTCTACATTGTCAATCTACTAGAATTGAATCTAGCACGTTGCTCATAAACAAGTTGAAAAAATATTGCTCCAAATTTTGGAATACAAATTTATTTTCCCAGTATTAGCCACCAAAAGTCATGTCGGAGAGCAAGGAAACGGGAACAGATGCCAATCCTGGGCAGGATAAGAAGCTGTCCAACGAAGCTCATATGGCGTAAGTTACACCAATTTACATGATTTTGTAATAAATGGATTCCCTGCAGATTAAAGGACTTATTGCACCAACGACTTTTGGAATGCGGGTGGCTCAGCAAAGTTCAGAAACTAGTACGACAGACCATTCAGGAACATGGAGTCGAAAATTTGAGTTTAGCTCATTTGGCAGCAGAGGTTGTACCCGAAGTATGTGATAAGTTTTCCCGCCAGAAGCTTTAGATTAACCCGAATTCCGTTTCCAATTAGGCTAGAGCTTCGATTCCCGAGGATATTCGTAAGGAGATGATAATCCGTGTGCGCGACGCTTTGGAATCTTCCTTGCCCCCCGAGAAGGAGTAAACTGACCGACTCCGCATCCACGTGTTCCAAAACAAACACCATGACATTGTTCTTGTGGTTTATTTAAGTAGATATTTACATACTTAGGCTATATGTATATGAATTGCGCCGTTAAACATACAATATGCATGTAATAAATAAACAACTTAACGGTAATTAGAATACGCTGTTACTATGTTCACGTTACAAGGGTTGTCGATTGGCTAAACAAAGTTTGTATATTGGATTGGAAATTAGGAACGCGGCATGGGCTCTACTTTTATACTATTTATGTATATGTACTTGTGTAATTATGCTACAAATAATAAGGCTAATCGTAAGTCATACATTTTGTGTGGGTCGTTACAGGTTTATGATTACTTATTTAATAACGAGTCGATTGAAAAGTCTTTGAATTTGGCGTTGGAATCGTCGTTGAACAGCAGCGAAGGATGCGAGTCCTGTGGCTCGGCTTTTGCTGCCGTGGCTGTTGGCAGCATTTTCATTAGCTTGTTACGTGGTTTTCGCAAAAATTTCGTATTGATTTGAAACTTGGCTGGCTTATGGCTAACAACTGGTTGGGCTTGAACCACCAGCGGTAAGGCTTGGGCTATAATAGGTGTTTCTTTTGTGGCTATTACTGTGGTAACTAATGTTGGTGCTGCGGCTGCTGTTCTTGGCGGCATTGTGCTTCGGAAATTCTGGCGCCAGGCACGCAGCTCTCCTCCGGTGCTAGCTGGCTTGATGATATTGGCCAAGGGCTTGATGGGATTCACGGTTGGTGGAGTGGGATTTGGCGCCAAGCTTGCTGTGGCATATGCATTGGGTCCAAAACACTTAAGAAAATTCTGGACATGCAGCAAGCTTTCGTTCTCGATTTTGTGCTTTGGTTGCCTCTGTTTGTCCTCGTTCTCGTCCTCCGCCTCGTAGTCCACCGAAGATTGCTGCTGCGAGGAGGATGAGAAGCTCGAAGAGCTGCTATCGCTGCTGAGCTGAAAGGAATATACCATTAGAGATGGTTCGTATTATCGGAGTATGGATACCTACATCATCGTCATTATTGTCGAGTGGCGGCTGCTGAAAACCAAGCTCCGTTGGTTTTATCTTACTGTGGCCCCTTGGCTGTTGCAATTTGTGGCTGCTGCGACTGTTTTTGTTGCTAATATTCGGTTGATGGCGTTTGCCGCGCTTGGTCAGGGATGGCTTCTTCTTCGACTGCAGTTTCAGTTGATCACGGTACGACTTTCAGCTGGTTTTGGCGAGGTTATCGTCGCGCCTTAGTTGGGACTGCAAGGAAAATAGAATTAGTTATTGGTTTAATTTCTAATAAGGCAGGGATTAAGGTTTAAATTTTTTAATATTTAAGGATTCTTCTCTCTCAGCCTTAAACACACAAAAACAAGAAACAATTTCAGGAGGACTCCCAACAGCAATGGACTATTTATAATGAACTAGATGGGCTGGGCGCAAAGCAAGTGTGAGTGTGTGTTGGAATTTGATTGGGTTGACCAATTGACGGAATGAATGATTGATTGATTGATTGATTGATTGATTGAATGGGTGCGTGGGTAAAGAAGACATGAGGGGCGCAAAATGATAAATGAAATGCACGACGAGTAACGAACAGACATTTAGCTTTTGGAAAATGAACTTCAATGGTCCTGGGGGACAGATCATGCACCCACAATTTGTCACACACATAGTCACACACAGTGGAACACGCTCGCACGCACACTACTACCTGGTGATGCGTGCCGTAGAGCGCTGCGTGGTGCGCCGCGTACGAGGAGGAGGTGCTACTTAAATCGTCAACGCCAACGCCAACGCCGCCGCCGCCACCCACTTGAACCTGAATGGTAGGGTGATGGTGTGGCTGATGGTGCGACTGGTGGTGCTGACTCGCGCCCGCTGTTGTCGTAAATGTAGTTGTGGTTGTGCTTGTGGCTGTCGCTGACCCACCTCGTCCAATACCAGCGGCACTCCCAGCGCCCAGGCTCATCCCCACGCCTACGCCACCGCTACCGACTACGCCCACACCCAACATGTGAGCAGCGGCCACAGCAGCGCTGGTATGGTGCGACTGATGGAGATGCTGCTGCTGCTGCTGTTGCTGCTGGGATTGCTGTGAAGGATGCTGCACTGATTGCTGCTGCGATAGATGCTGGTGGTGCAGGCTGTTGTTGTTCAGGTTAATGCTGACTTCACTCCTATTGTTGCTTCCAGTATTCGTGTATCCATGGGATGCAGAGACGTGCCTGAAAGTGAATTAGGTTTAGATCCTCTCATGACCTATTGCCATCCTTATGTTTCTCACCTGAGAGCCAAGTTGGCGGCATTGTTCATCGTTAGTCCAGATGTAATGGACATTGGGGCTGCTGCAGGACCACTGGAGTTGGAAGAGGCTGCCGGATGGTTGCTATTGCTGTTGGTATTGCTGGTGCTGCTGCTGGTGTTGTTGTTGGTGGCACTGTTACTGCTGGTGTTGCTGCCACGATAGTCGAGAACTCCTTGAGAGCTGGAACTAGCCGGAGCCACTGTCGGCCGACTGTTGGCCATTGTGGGAATTGTGGTGTTGATTGCCGTGGTGGCCAGGGAAACGGCTGTGGCGATTGTTGTGGCTGCATTGAGGGATATGCTGTTGCTGTTGCTGGTGCTGGGAGCTAGTGTGGAAATGACAGAAGTTGTACAAGTTGATGTTGCTGTTGTTGTTGAGATTGTTGTTGTTGTTGTGGCTGAAGATGCCGTTGCTGTAAGCATTTTGTTAGATTTTGTGAGTACGCGCCAGTAGTGTTCCATCTCCACCAAGGGATATGTGCGTGTGTTTGCTAGTTTGCGGTATTAGTTAGTGAGTGGGTGTAGTGTGTGTGTGTGTGTGGGTGTAGGCGGTGTGTGTGAGTGCGTGTGGGTGGTGTATCTCTCGTGGTATCTGCATGCAACAGACGGCAACACAACAAACTTAAGAATAAAACTAAAAGAATAAGCCTCTAACCGAGGGTCTCTAACCAGAACCCAATTTTGTGAGAATATCGAAAACTTAAGAAATGAATTTAGAATTTGTGTGGTTTTGTGTTTAATATTTTAAACATTTTATTCATTTTTCAAATAAATAAAATCGAAAGTAAGTAGCATTTAGGTTGTGAAGTAACTTAACTAGTAACTTGGCCAAGGAAATACGCATAAATCGGTACATGAGTGGGTAAAAGTAACTTGTATTTGGCCTTAAATACATAGAACTAACTTAAGAGTGTAGTCGCCGCGTTTAAGATATAAACGTAATCTAAGAATGGGATGATCGGGGGATAATGACAGAGAAACAGCATTCCAGAAACGAGAGTCAACGAGAGATGTCAATATGGTCGATGGAGTCTTCTTCTCGGTTTCATGACAGAATATGGAGGTGGATGGGTGGGTATTATGTGGCCTATTATGTACATACATATTCTCCTTATATACACGACCATTTGCAACCGATTCAGTTTGGAACTTAACCTAAGGTACTTAGAGCTATCGACACAAACTACTGATAGTATATAGTATGTACAATGAATGCGAACATAAGAGAATTGAAAATCAATCGTAATAAACGCAAATTTTGGTCTGTATTCAGTGGCTGTGTGGTGGGTGGTAGGTGGTGGATGTAAGGCTCCTCCAAGGCTAAGTGCTGGAAGCGAGCAAATGCCGACACCAAGTTCAGAGAGAGAAGGCGCGCCTCCTCTACTTACCGTGCGCCTCGGTCTTGGCATTGCTGCCGATCGTATTCAGCGGAATCTGCAGGCGCGCATTAACAGCCAGCAGATGATCTCGTCGAGCAATCAAACTGGTCACATGCTCCTCCAGTCGCAGATTCTCGCTCTGCAGCTGATGCAGGCAATTCAGCAGGGAGGCAACTGCAATACGAAATCGCAAATATTAATATTTAATTGCATAACAGTCTCAGTCCCCAAGTACGACTCATACTCACTGTCAAAGTGCTGGGCCTGCTCCATCAGAAACTGTGAGCCCTGCTCCCACTGGCGCTCCAGCAGCTGCTCCAGACTCTGTGGTATCGGCATGTTTCCGTTGATCCCACCACCGCTGAACATCGACTGCAGTGGATTCGGAGCTGGTGTGGCATTATTAGTCGAGGCACTCGAGTTGCGCTGTAAATACAAGTATTTATCAATTATCTGAAATGACTAACTTGTTGGCAGCTTAAGGGGTTGTACGATAGCCCTTTCTTGGCTAAACTTTCTTATCAAACCAGTAAGCGAGTCATAATACAGAAACTATATAATATTTGTATTACCTGCTTGCCGGGGAAGGGCACTCCGGCGTACTGCGAATTCATCGAGTCCGGCGTGTAGATCGAATGGTCCTGCACTTCCATGTGCAACTGCTCGGACAGCTTCTGCGCCACACTGCTGTTGGGATTTATCTGATTGCCCAGCATGTGGGCGGCCGTGTGGGTGATTATCGAGCTAGATCCGGTGGAGGCAGCCGGAGTGGACACTGCCGGCGTGGCAGGGGGCGTGGGAGTGCTGCTGGCCGGATTGCTCGAGCCACTGGCTGCTCCATTCTGCAGTATGCGCACGTCCTTGAGATCTGGCTGAGCATTGGAGGCAGCTACCGCCGCCGCCGCCGCTGCCGCTGCTGCTGCCGCGGCTGCTGCTTGGGCTGCTATCGTGGAGTCCTTGGCCTTGCGTCCCCGCTTACGGACATTGCCGGGCTGAGCAGTTGCCGAGGCCGGAATGACGGCATTCAGGGAGCTCACCGCCGCTGCAGCCGTGTGTATGGCCAGTCCAACCTCAGAACCGGGCGAGCTGGGAGGCGAGTCCTTGATGGCGCTCACGGGCAGCATTTGAACATCCAAGGTGGTCTGGCTTTCGTAGGTGAACTTGAGGCCGCCGCTAGATCCGCCACTGGACACCGCATTGAGGGGCAACTGGTTGGTGAGCGTGGCCAGGGCTGCTGTTGTCACGGGCACCAGCGAGGATATGGACGAGGCCAAGCCGAGGTCGGGCGTTCTGTTTGGTTTCGACGTCGGAGTGTTGGGGTTGGAAGAAGGATTGGGATTCAAATTAGTGAATTGCAAAATCTCTAAATCTTCGTGTTGATGCTGCTGCTGTGCCTGTTGCAAGTGCGTGCTAAAGTTGGCTGTGTTCGAAGCTGAGTTGGAGCTGACATTGGCGGGGGAGCTAGACCTAACGGAAGGTGTATACTGTGGCTGCTGTTGCTGTTGCTGCTGCTGCTGCTGATACAGCTGCGTCTGCTGGGCCCGCAGCATTTTCTTATTCAGGGGCTTGGCCTGACTATTGCCACTAGCCGCTGGCAACATGTTGCTGCCACGGTAGTTCCCAGACGCCGACATGTTCACCGGCGAGTCAATCAGATTAACGACAGCCCCACCACTACCACTGGAACTAACACTCGAGGAGGAGGACGACGTGGACGAACAGGACGAGGATGTCTGCTCGCCGTTATGATTGTTGTTGCTGTTGCTACCGGTGGTGGTGTTGTTGCGAGTGCTGCGACTAGTTGCTGCTGGGTTGGCTGGCGGGGAGTCGATCGAGGAGGAGGAAAGGGACTGCAGCATTACCACTGGCGAGGAGACCACTGGAGGTGGTGCACCCGGTGGCGGGGGCGTGGGCGTGCCTCGATAGTGGGGCGAACTGTGGCGACTCTGCTTCTCGGCGGTGGTTGCAGCCAGATTGGCGGCAGTTGGAGTCGCCGGGGCTGCGTCGTTCTTGACCGGAGCAGCACCACGTTTCTTGCCCGACCGTGAGGGAGCTTTCGGATTCGAATTTGAGGAGGCAGGGCCACTGGACAGGGTGGACGAAGAGGTAGAATTGGGAGGGCAGGTGGAGGAGGAGTTGGCTGAGGCGTTGGCGGCGGAGGCAGAGGAGTGCAGAGCATGTGGCTGCTGCTGCTGTTGCTGGGATTGTGGCTGCTGCAGTGACCCTGCTGGCTGGTGGTGGCTATTGTGGTGGGTCGGGTGGTGATGGTGGTGGGTGTGATGATGGCTACCGCCACTCTCACCGGATCGCGATCTAAATGTGATGATGGATTGGTGGGCAGTTGTGTAATGTGGGAAGACATTAAGCAAACGAGAGAGACAAAGAAAAATAGATTGGTTTCAGAGATCTCATGGCCTTACAATAACACATAGACATCGAAAGGAAACTGGTGGTGGTGGTGAGGGGGTTTAAGGATAAAAACTAAAGGATCAAAAGGAACGAAAGTTCGCCGCCAAAACAAAACTACTACTGAAACACAGCAACAGAACAATAAAAACACAGCCGCGGATTAAGAAATATAAACATTTCCAAACGATTTATGATACAAACTAAGGGCACAGTCAAGCACAGGCAACAAACACGAGCCAAAAGATGGGTGACGAGGTGGCCACCATCGCTACGTCCTGCATACCTGCTACGTCGTGCTGGCGGTGCCTCCTGCTCCTGCAGCTGCTGCACCCGCGTGGTCTGCTTTTCGAAGCTGATCTTCAGATTACCGCTCTCCGTGGTGGTGGCAGTTAGGTTGCCGCCGCTGGCGGAGATGATGCTGCCGCCGCTGTTGCCACTGACTAGGTTGCCCAGCGCCGGTGACGACTTGCCGCTCTGGTGTTGAATGACCGACGAGGAGCCACCGCTAGGGCTGCCGCTTGCTGCTCCGCCATGGAATGCACCACTCATCGAAGTGGGATTGCTTTGGTGGCTCTGCTGTTGCTGCGACTGAGTGCCATTGCCGCGCGATCCTGCTGCATGGGTGTCTGTTGCAAGAAAATGGAAAGCATAAGTCACAGCTTGAATGACGCTAGTGGATCACTTACCGCTGCTTGGATTGTTGCTACTACTGTTGGCGGGCAGGTTGATTCCAGGTACATTGGCCGTTGACAGGGGCACGGAGACATACAGGCTGGGGGCGTTGCTGCTGCTTCCGCTCCCTGGCTGCTGGTTGCTGCTGCTCTCCTTGATGTTGCTGCCGTGCTTGCTGATGTTGGTACTGCTGTTGCTGCTGCTCCCAGTGCCACTTCCTGCTCCACTCGCCTTTGCCGAGTCAGTCTTTGGATAGCTGCTAGATCCCAGTGCTCCAGCTGAGCCTCCTCCGGAGCTGTTTCCACTGCCCGTGGAGCCCGCATTGCTGCCTGAGGTGTTGCCGCCGGTGGCTGGGGATGCTGCCGCTGCCGTAGCACTCGCCGCTACTGCAATGGATGCACTTGTTGAGCTGGAAAGTGGAGCATTCACTTCAGCGGTGGCGGATGTTTGGTGGGTCGGTGGACTGAGCTCAGTTCGTTGCTGTAAACGAGAGATGATAAGACGAGTTAGTTGGAATTTTTAATGATTTCATGATTTATTTTTGTGGCTTTTATTAGATAATAAAGACCTAATATTGTTGGAAAAGATAAGCTCCGAAAAGGCAAACAATCTCTTAATGGTTAGTTCTAGTTAAGTGTATTATTACACAATAGGGGAAATAGGGGCCTTTATACGGTCTCATAATATAAAATAATTATCATCAAGAATAATAACAAAATACTTGTTATTAAAGTCATAATTTTACTAAAAAATTATGAAATTTTAATCAAATTTTTGTATTAAATACTGTAACTAAGTGTATTCTATTATCGGTGCTAAAATTAATGCGGTTGCCTTTTTGATTTGCTTTTTAACTTTGCGGTCATTAGCAACATCCGGTCGGTGGTGAGACATGTAAACACATGTTTACAACACCACCACGTCAGAAGAAGAAGAAGAATAACAAAATAAACCACACAAAACCCACATCGGAGCAGGGCTGGATTAACATTCCCCTAACAGTGACCTAACAGTGGGCTGTTCAATTGTGTCAGCAATCACAGCAACCACTGTGGTGTAGCTGCTGCAACTGGGGGGTGGGTGGTGGTGCGGGCAAACTGGGCGAGTTATACATATATAAAGGGGATCGGCGCAGCATGTGTTCCATATAGATTAAAAGCTACCCAAGGGACAGGCACATTAATGCAACTCCAAAGCTCTTATCGCTCCCGGGCACACACACATACCAAAAAATAAGACAACAAAAATCGAACGGAAAACGCTCATGAGTCAGAGTTACAAGAATGCCAGGCACTGCTGCAGCTGCAGCTGCAACTGCAACAAATGTTGCTGCAATGCTGGGCGAGTTTCCATAGTTGTTGTTGTTGTATTTTTGGTTTTGTGGTTCGGCTGGGGCATGTGCTGCGCATATTTATGTGTATCTGTGTGGAGCAACAAATGTTAAATGCACCGAATGCACCAAAAAAAAAAAAAACAATAAAGAGCAAGGCCTACAAGATTGGGAGAGCCACTCAGCTCAACAGCAGCAGCTCACCCACCCGAGCTAGCTGCTGCTCTACTCTCTACTCCTCCCCACCCTGCGCCTGATGCCCGGGCTCTTGCTCTCCTCACCTCAATCAGAGAGTAGATTTTGTCTTTTTGTTGTTTTATTTTGGGGATGGGGGTGCAACACAACACAAACACATCTACAATACACACGCACACAATGTAGCTTGGTCACGTAGACCAAAAACAGACGAAAAAGACAAACCTATTCGAAGAGTACTCCGCGGAGTTGCCACCTTATGGAAAGTTTTCCAATTGGAAATTCAATTCCATGCATGTTCCAACAAGTTAAAACATGAAGCAAGAAGCCTGTTGCACGAAAAAACATTCGTCTCAAGTTTCAGAAACAGCACCTTCATGCTTCATTAGATTTGGGTCAATGGGCGGGAGGATAGGACACCATCTGCCACACACAATAATATTGATTTATGTCCTTAATAATTGCATTTTTGTGAAAACAATCTGAAGGATTTGCACAACCATTTTCATGGTCAAGTTTTGAGTGTACTTGACACTTTCCGGCTCGGGATTCTAACCCTCTGATGGTTTTTTAGAGTTTACTGTTGAGGCAGCTGCCGAATGGCGATTATCCTGTTGCTGCAGCTAATGGCCTGAAGCAGAAACAGGACACGAATTCAACCCTCTTCTATGTACACACATGTGTATAATTTTGACGATAAAGCGTGCTTTGCATTTGGGAGTAGCTTCCGCGACATATTTCAATTTTATTTTTTTTATTGTGCGACAACTTGAATTCAATTGAATAAAAGGAGCCCCGCCAGCCGGAAATAAAATACCAACTATAAATATTATATTAGCGTGTCTGGGCCTCTCCTGCTACCCTTTCGCGCGAGCTCTCCATCCCTTTCTCTCCAGCCTTGCCCAACAATGCAATGGGTTAATGTTCGCATAAAAGGGTTGTCCTTGTCCCCTTTGTGAAGAGAAGTTTGCAAAAAAAAAAACAACAACCATAAAAAAAAGAAGAAGAACCATCCAAGCAAACAACAACAGTCGTCAAATAAACGATAGAATTATTCAAATTGAATTGAATGATATTTTTGGGGAATGCTATTGCTGTTGTCATCGTTAGTACTATATAGAAAGCGAAATCAAAGGAAGTCCAAAGGAAGGATTCCGGGGAGTAAACAAACCGTTTCATGGCCTTTATCGAATTACGGTCTAAAGCCGAAGCCGATTGGCGGAAACTACAAATCTCGTCTATCCAGGGGGAAATTGAAAGGATCAAAGGGAATAATGTTCTTATGGCAGGATATATTTAAAGGGAAAATGCGTTTTGGTTGATTGGATGGGAATGTCTAATAGATAAAGGAAGGGTCATATTTAATTCAATAAATACATATGAGATAATATACTAATGTTTAATATTTAAAAAATACCAAAAGATACCAAAAAGAACAGTGAGTATTGTTATGTTTTCCAATTAAAATAACAATTAGGGAGCCACAAAAAAAAAAAACACCAAAGAAAAAAGGTGAATAAATACAGGACCCGACCCGAGACAGGACAACGGCCCGCATACCTGGGAATTTAAAATGAAGAGAGAGAGAGGCAGGCAGCAGAAGCAGCTGTAACCAGATCGATCCAAGGATCAATCAGCCGCCAGGAAGCAACAGCCAGCGCAAGTACAAAAAAAGTAAGGGTAGATACGAAAGAAAGAGCCAAGGACCAAGGAAGATGCTCGGCAGCTGTCGTAAACTAGGCGCAAATGTGGCATGTTGAATATATTGCACAAGGTCCTGGTCCTGCTGCTGCCACAGGATAGAATGCAAGCGGCAAGCGAAAAAAAGGGGAAGCGGAAAGGATAAGGATAAGGCGAACAGCTGTCTGCTTGGAATCCCCTCTACCCAGCTACCAGCTAGTCACGTACTCCAGGGACAGCCCTTAATGGCACTTACACTAATCAATAATCGAGTACCGCTACACCATAAACCGTACCATGTGTCACAACTCAGATATGTGGTATAAGGGCCTATTGGAGTGGAAGGGAGATGTTGGATAATTGAAGGTGTCTTCCCCCCTAGTATTTCTTTTGTTTTTCCAACCGTACTGGCAGGTGGACTCGTTCCCATCGTTGCAGGTGCATACTACATGCTTCTCGGTTGCACATTGTGGTTTAAATTATTGATGGAGTGTCAAATATGGCCATTAATAATCAAAATATAATCGCAATGGGGTTGGTTGTTTGGAAATACAAGCCATAATATTTAAATAAAAGACCTCAGAGGTCATGAGAAAAAATCTGGAAATCAATCACTCGGCTTCAGGAAAGGTAAAAAATGGAGTAGGACCGGTAGGATGTGGTCTCAGTTCCTAAGCCACAAGATCAGATGTCTTCTCTTGATAGGGTATAGGTTGGTAGTATTTCTGTGATAATCCCACAGTGAGAACCGATCATACTCGATAAGTCCACAACCTTTCTTTGTCTGGAATAGTCTTTTCTAAAAAACATATTCTCCCAGTTTGTCAGACATGGCAGCTTCCAGGGATTTCCCAAAATAGACCCCGGGGATTGGCAGGGACAGATGGTGGGCTATCCACTATTCTGGATAGCGCCGTCGAGGGGGAAAAATCAGAAAGTGTCTCGAGATTGAAGTCTTACCCCGGAAAGCAGGAAGCGTATTTTTAAATTGTGCGGATATGTGGTGGTGGCGGCACCTCCTCCACCACTCCCCGTCGCTCCTCCGCCGGCTGCACCCAAGTACGATGGCGAGGCGGACGCCGACCCACCAACGTACTCAATGGTGGCCGAGGGGGTGGTGGACGCCGATGACGGCGATGACGAGGCGGAGGTCGAGTGCTGGCTGCTGTTGGGGTGGTGATGGTGATGCTGCTGGTGGTGGTGGTGGTGCGTTTCCCTTTCCCGTTCCCGGTCCCGATCTCTGTCCCTGTGGCGACGATGCTCCCGGTGCTCTCGATGTTCCCGGTGTTTGTGATGGCGGTGCTCCTTGCCCTCGCGTCCTTCTCGCTCCCTCTTCTCACGCTTCTTCTTCTTGTTCTTCCGGTGCTCCTTGTACTCAGCCATGTCGATGTGGTTGTTGTTGCTCTCGGATGTGCCCGTTTCCGCCTCGGCGGTGGCCGCCATGCTCACCATGGTGGCGGTGAAGTCCACCAGAGCAGCGCTGCCCACAGTGGTGGCTGCCACAGCGACGGCAGGCGCCACGTCCATGGGCTGGGACTGTTGGGATGCGTCCATGGTGTCCATCATCATCATTTCGACTTCTGTTCTGTGGCTCCTCAGCTTTTGGATCAACGGGCAAGAGGCGGAGAGGTGAGAGTGGGCCTCTTCGATTTTGTTTTGTGCTCTGTAATTAACTGGACTCGTACTCAGTCTCAGCCTCAGACTCGGCCTTTTCTTCAGTCTACGTTTTTTCAGTCTTGGCTTTCTTCCTCTTCACCTTTCTGATACTTCTGATACACTTTTTGTTGTTGTTGTTGTATCGTTTTCAATATTATTATTTTGTATGCTGGCTTTGCTTTTGCTTCTGTCTTTTGTATTCTCTTTCACTGGCACACACACACACACACACTGTTTTAGAACACACACTTATACAAAATCACAGCGCATACGTGAGAACCACCTCCACCCCCCTTTTCCTGTCCCCTGTCCCGGTGCTGCTGCTGATGATGATGTTGTTGTTGTTGGGGTGAATAACTTGCGTGGCGGCGACTGGGCTGGCTCGCTCTCTCACTCACTCTCTCACTCGCTTTGGGCTTTGGGCCTGCTGCTCTCGACGTTTACCTTTTTTTCTTCTTCACTAAAAACTTAATTTCTTTTAAACGGAAACTTGACGCTTTTCTTAACGCTGCTTAATATTCCCGCGTGGCAAGGTTTAATTTGTTGAATTTTTTACAGGTGAGTTGTTGTTGTGACACAATTAATTATTAATGACACAATTATTAATTCAATGGATTCA